GCAACGTTGACTCTCTACTCATTGCTGTGTAGTTTGTCGAAGCCCTTCCTCAATGGCGATGAATTCTTCTCTCGCAGAATCCGTGGTCTCGACAGAGATGGCTTGGCTGTAGGTACTGAAGCGATTGCTTTTGGAAGAGACCTTTGTGTTGGGCATATTTGTCAGCGAAGATCAATGATGATTTTATGGAGGTAGTATCTGCTGAAATCTAGATGGTAGATTGACGGGACAATTATGTAGAACGAGGAAGGGAAGTAAAGAGAATAAACATACACTTGGAGCCATGATAGGACGGGAAGAATCTATAGAAGCAACCATCTTTGTGATATCCGTTTCAGATTAACACCGATGGGGTCTTATGACAGGTTTGATCAAGGGTTCTTCTTGTAGTATATTGTGGCCCCTAATAGCAACGGGCTGTTATGATCGAATCGCACAGTAGCTCGAGAGAGTGAAAGGGTATGGGCTATCACAGGCTACTTGGATCTGGAAAAGATGGCGTTGATCCACGTCTTTGGCTTATGTAGGAGTAACAGGTGTCGAAGTGGGTCAGCCCTGGGTGCCACGAGGGAAGGGAAGTGATAAGTGGAAGGATCGTTAACTTTCAAAACAAGAGCGGAAGAAAGTCTTTCAAGGGGATTCAAGGGACCCCTTCTCGCAGGTGGATCAAATGCTTCTAAAAACGGCAACGCACTGACAAAAATCTGGCAGCAATCACTTGCAGACTGCAGTGAAATCAAAAAGAAGCGGAGAGGAATTCTTTTAGAGTCAGTGGAGGGTTTTTGAGACTCAATTGAGAGTGGGAGAGAAAAAAAAGTAGATGGGTTAGCAGGCGGCTGGCTGGCTGAGTTGATTGATAGTATAGTATAGTAACTTCGCGATTTGTGGTTCGACAGAATCTCTGTACTCGAGTAGGATCAGTTTGATGCAGTCAGCTTTTAAAGTAAGTTTCACGAATATTAGTGAAAAATCTCATGGCATGATGGGAATATTCAGGATAGGAAAGATTTACCTTGTGAGAGGGTTAGCAAGAAAACGTGGTGTGTAGGGATTCCGAAATGTTTTTGAATTTTTTATTGGTACCTATGATTGGTTAACAGCTAACACCGATATCCGTTTGATAAGTGAACGAGGAAGACGAAACGAAACGAAACGTACTCAGTAAGGTAGGTTCCAAATATTCAAAGTTCAGTATACATGATTGATTACTATTTTTTTTGCTTGATGAAAGTGCAAATCTACAAGAAGAGTTAGATTGTATACCGCCTACTATCAGTACTATGCACTGCCTTGTGTTTCTCGACGGCCGTTAATGAAGATCAATTTAAAACCTCCTTCCAACTTATCCAACCAACAATTGAACAAGTACAATCAATCAATTATCATCTCAATGACTCTTATCTGATATCTCCATTTCTCCATTTCTCCATTTACGAGGTGGGCTACAGCAATTCAAGAGCAGTCAATAGGTAGGTATCAAGGTAGTATATATAACTGCTATTCGAATCCTTCAAAAAGTCCAAAATTGAACTTGAGAAGTCTCCCATGATGAATTGAATGCAAGATCAGACCCACCTCTGAGACCAGGAATGAATGAAGCTTATCACACCACAGAAAAGAAATACTAGGCAGGTAGCTACCTAGTACATTGCTGGTTTCACCAACCCGTAAGAAGGGAAAGGGCCGGCTCGAGCATCATGGAGAAAAGATAAACTTTATCAAAGCACGTGGTAAACATGATAGATATACTTTCTAGACAGTGACGGGAAACGCGGTTGCATCGAGGTTGCATTAGACTAACGAACCTAATAATGCTTGTATTAGTTGAAACAAGAGACGTTGGCTTTGCCTTCTTTAATAAGAATTGAAGTACCGCATACAACCGACCAACTCAACCAATTGAACATCACAAAAGCCATTGGGGCATCACATGTGTGTGTGTGGTAACTGTGGTTATAGTTTACTGTTTTCGAAGTGGATTCTTCAAATTATGGGAGTCGTATTGGGCATTGCATATGCAGGACGCCATCGGGAACCCAAAAAAATCAATAAGTACCCCTCATCAATCTGCGGCATCCATTACCTTTTATTTTGGTGTAATAGTGTTTGTAAGCCGAGGGCTTGGATTTTGTTGAATAGTAACATGGGGACTTGAAGAAGTGCATTTCTTGGTAAGTTATTGAGCAGAAGATGAGCACGGTATAAGCAAGTGCTAGGTAATACAGCACAGTAATGGATTTGATGAATTGTTGGTCAATTGCTCTTTCCCCAGCTGCAAGAAAATTATCCTAGAACTATATCTGCGCAGATGCATCAGGGAAGATTGGGAAAAAAAAAAAGTAAACAAAGCAACCCCACCCAAACACCAATTCCTGCAGCTATTCAACAGCTACTAGATAATCACATTAAAATTACAAATTATCATTGTAATATCTTGACAATACCTGATCAACCTTTGCAATGCCTAAAAAACAATTTTTGAAAGATAACAAGAAGAAGTCCAAGCATGCACCGCAGGTAAGGCTCCATAATTGATCCAAAATCAATGAATATGCAGGTCATGTAACACGTGCAGATACCAGCAACGGCTGATGAATATCTCGCTGGTAAGTTATTATTCTCTTCGTAGGACCAAAGATGGGGATGTACATAAGCTAAGACATATCATAGCTGGGGTAGATTTTGAAGAGGCTGGCGAGAAATGGAGAGGTGGTGATGCCGCGAAGGTAAGGCCTTCATTCTCATACACGTTTATGTATTGGATCTGAATTTCCATCGTCGCAGTCAGCGAGGTTCTTCGTCAGAGCAATTGATAACTACGAGGAAGCTTTGGAAAAGTTCCCAAACTCTTTCGACCTTGCTTATAACAGGTGAGATCTTTTCATGCTCAAAATTTAGGTACTGATAGGTGCTGATATTTCACAGAGCCCGAGTTCTGTATGAGCTTACACAATATCCAAAGCTCACAGCACAATTACCTGGGACACTTCTGGACCTTCTAGCTGCTGCTTTGGAAGCGAGTCGATTTGCATTGAGTTTAAAACAGGATAATGCAGACATCTTGTTGTATGTAGTACACAAATCCCTTCGTGCTTTTCACGGCTAACAGCAGCAGCAATACGGCTCAGGTTCTTACCAGTATTGCGGAAGTAACATCAGAAACGAGAAACGTTGGCAATGATGATAATCTGGCTTTACTCGAGGAGGCTATTGAGCTTTTTCAGAGATGTTTAACGTTGCAGGAGTACCAATACACTGAATCGCAAACTCAAGCTGGATTTGTATCTCCATTAGATTCGGATCCAGATATGGAAGAAGGTGGGGCTTCGTTATCTGATTCTAATGCCCAACCTCTACAGGATAATAGATGGGCGACTATCGTTGAGCCAGTGACCCTTGATACTTTACTAGATACTCTAATAGCTCAGCTTCAAACACTCGCTACATTATGTGGGTTGGTCAACGTAGATGCTGGTCGAGGACTGGCGTGGATCGAAGAATATTCAACCCCGCTCATCGGCGAAAAACTACAAAGCTACCTTGAGGGCACTACAGACAGAGAGCAAGAAGCTGGCCTCGCCAAGTCAAATTTCGTTGCTGCTCTCGCTGATGCTAATTTCCGATCACAGCGAATTGATATTGGTACCTACGAACGAACTTTGAATGATGTGTATTCGTCATTGAGCCTGGAGGATCATCCAGAAGGGCTTTGCGACAAAGCTGAAGCATTCATCTCATACAATTCTTCTGTTCGCCTGAACTATGAAGCAGCTCAATCATCCGAAGTGTCCGCATCACGTTGGAAAGTTCTAACAGCAGCACTGGACAGTCTGACGAAAGCTTCCAAACTTCCTTCGGCCGACAATCTATCAAAGATCCACATTCTACGAGGTGATGTCGACCTTTTGAGATTTCAGTTGGGTCAGCAGCCGAGTAATTTTGATATTGCTTTGAAGAATGGGGCAGTGTTAGCAAAGAATGCGGAGAAATTCTACCGTGGTGCTGGAAACTTCGCGAGAATGGAGGGGTCGAGTAAGCAGTTAGAAGAAGCTGAAGTGAAGGAAGCTCTAGCTATGAGTTTTTATGGTGAGAAGGACAAACTATTGAGATGTATCAAATTGCAACCTGAGCTCGTTAGGGGCGTTTTGGAGGATGCTCTTGATGATGGATTGGTTTCATATGAGGCCTTATCTGCCATGGGTATTGCATAGAGCTATTTGATACTGCAGAGTCTTAGATACCTATTGAACAGTATTGTGGTCTTAGTCTTTGGTGGCACAATGAAACTTTTTCCGCTTGAATACTTGTCAAACGATCAGACTCCAGTGTAACTTAAGACTTCCAATTCTCCAGAGACAGTAGATTTTCGAAAATAGTAGATTCATTGGAAACCATATTTATCATGCCACAGTTGTTTAGAGGTATGAATATTGATCTCTATCATCTTCAGACAAAATCACTAGTCAATCAATATGATGGTATGATATTACATTCATTACGCTATAGTTAACTTTCCTTTCTTTGTCGATGATGGTTATTCGTCATTTTCAGCCCAAGATTGGGGTTGTGGTTGTGAATAGTCTCAATTATCTATGTTCCTAAAACAACCTCAGGACCCATTTTCCTAGAATAATTATTCATTCCATCTCACATTCAATTCCATATCCTTGTACATTATCTCCATCAGATGCTGCACGGACTCTGATGCCTAAGGCTTGAAACCAGAGTTCTGGTTTTCGCTTATGAATTTGTAAAATAATGGAGATTTGAACAGCTTCATTACTCGCCCACCATCGACATCCTCAAGAAAAATTCTTTCCGATATCCTCTTACATCTCAAAACACATTTACCTACACATTAGAAGCTTCTTTTCGTTCTTCTAATCAAATCCTCGCCATCATACTCGTAATTTTGATCCTCAAATATTTAAAGCGATCATCTTCTCCAGATTCCTCGAATACCTTCAATAATTAAACAAACTCAAAGTTTCTAAAGCACACCGATTTTTGTGACAGGACCCTATTTTATTCTGTTCACCCGATCTTGAACTTTATTTTCAACTATCTGCGACAGTTCACTTCAGCTGTTTCCAATCCTTTAAAGACATCTCTCCGAGACCCCTCCATCTTCTAATTCTTGTGAGGTTGACAAAAGTCTTCCTTCCCCACCTTTCCAGAATCATGGCAACCAATGGTACCTTCAATCAACAAGATCAATACAAGACAACCGCCACCGAACAGTACCCAGCTACTTCAGGTGCCACTGGCTCTTCAAGCGGAGGTGCTTCTGGTGGAGATCTCTCCAAGGATGAGGTTGGATGGTACTTTGTTGAGCAGTATTACACTACTCTAAGCAAGTCTCCAGAAAAGCTCCACGTAAGTTTTATAATTGCTATGGTGAAAATTACATTTGCGCTAACATTTCATAGCTCTTCTATGGAAAGAAATCTCAATTCGTTTCTGGTCTTGAGGGAGCTCAAGCTCCAGTATCCGTCGGCCGAGCTGTAAGTTCTGCGCGCGTGTTATTTGTTATGTGACTAACCTTTTTTTAGGGTATCCAAGAACGTATCCGCGACCTCGATTTCCAAGACTGCAAAGTTCGTGTCACCAATGTCGATTCCCAATCTTCCTTTGACAACATTGTCATCCAAGTTATTGGTGAAACATCCAACAAGTCTGCCGAGCCCAAGAAATTCGTCCAAACCTTTGTTTTAGCTCAACAGCCTACCGGATATTTCGTTCTCAACGACGTTTTCAGATACATCAATGAGGAGGTTGAAGAAGAGCAAGTTGAAGCTGCTGAGGTCAAGGAGGAGTCTGCGCCCGCGCAAATAGTCGATGATGTTGAAATGCCTGCTGCACCGGCTGCTGTCGAGGAGTCCGCAGCTCCAGAAACTACTTTGGACGCTGATGTGGTTGACAAGAAGTTGGAAGAGACCATCGAGACCGAGCCTGCTACCGTCGAACCAACTACAAATGGAGAGTCAGCTGAAGCTACTACTACAGAAGTTGAGGAAAAGCCAGAAGAGCCAAAGGTTGAGGAGAAAGTTCCTACACCAGAGGAAATTGAGAAGGCTGTTGACGAGGAAGTGAAGGAACCAGAAAAGCCAAAGGACCCAGTTCCAACTCCAGAACTCTCTAGACAACCTTCTGCCACCAAACCCGCTCCAATCCAGCCAGCTACCCCAGCTAAGCCATTGAGTTGGGCAGCTCGCATTGCAGCTTCAGCTGGCTCAGCACCAAAACCTGCTGTTCCAGTTGTGCAACCAAAGGCTGCCGCTCCAGCTGCACAAAAACCCGCTGCCACTCAACCAGCTAAGCAACCAACTACCCCTGCAACCACCGCTGCTACTCCAGCAGCTGAGAAGAAGGAAAACTCACCAACAGGCTCTGCTGGATGGCAAACTGCTGGAGGTGATGCCAAGCGACAAAACAGACCACAATCAATCTCCCAACAGCCAACAGAAGATAAGGGAACTTTGGGATATGTTCGTAATGTCAACGCTTCAGTCAAGGATGAAGAATTGCGCTCAGTTTTGAGCTCTTTTGGCGAGTTGGTCTACTTTGACATCAACCGTGCTAAGGTATGCCATATCACTTTCGTTTCATGATCGTAACTAATTCACCTCTAGAACTGCGCTTTTGTCGAATATGCCAATGCCGCTGGTTACCAAGCAGCAGCTCAGGCCAATCCTCATAAGATTGGTGAAGAAACCATCTATGTTGAGCCACGCCGACCAAAGTCTACTGCATACGGTGGTAATGGTTACTCTGGTGCTGCACGTGGTGGAATGAACCAACGTCCCCGTGGTGGATTCGAACAAGGTCGTCCTGGCAATCAACCTGGCCGTGGTAACTTTGGAGCAAACCGTGGACGTGGAGGTGCCAATGGACCAAGAGGAGGTCGTAGTGGTGCCGGTCAAACAGCTTAAATGCAAATTTCAACAAGCAACTTCATAAGTCAAAACGTCGGATTCATTATCACAATAATCAGATTATGAAGCCTTCGACGATGTACCATATTCAGTCACCTTGGCTACGAGACCCAAGATCCTTCCACCTTGTACTTTACTTGATCACGAAAATTTCTCGAACCCTTTCATTCACGTTCATGTTTTTAGGACAGCAAAAGTTCAGCAATTTGATTATTGGCTCATACTTTATGCGCCATCATATGGTATATTGAATGGGTTTATGCTTTTCTTTTTAACTTTAAAAATTTGAGGATGGATTGGGTGCACCTTTCTTTTTACGGACCACAGAATTTACGCAATTTATGATGTACTTTTTTTGTCTGGTCTATGTGGCATTGCAAGAATTTGATCTTCCTCACGTTTGATATGCTCTTTTGCCATATTACCCTATTGTTCATTTCCTTCTTTCCTGAAGTTATTATGCACAGCAAGTTCTGATGATCACGGCTGGATGGCGGGGCGTGGGGTGTAGGATTGGTAATGGAAAATTATCTAGTAGGCCTATAGTGTTGAGGGCTGAAATGATGATGAATGGATTATCCGGATGGAATAACATTGATTGATTGATGATGGATGGCTGGGTACTTCGGTGTGTAGGCGTGGAAAAGGATATATGAATTGATAGTGGATATGAACAACTTTGGCTACTTGCAATTTACTTGCTAGTGATATTATGGGAGAGGGTAGATAAGAGTAGATAGTAGATAGGGTGGGAATGAATGCAAAAGAAAAAAATAATAAGAATATTAAATATTAAATAAACAAGAGAGAAATGATGATAAATGAGCTCTTCAATGTGTGAAATATGTGTGAAATAGAATGATTCTTGTTATATATTGTGCAAAGGGGTGAATGAGATTTGAGACGAGCATCTACTAGTAGTAAGAGTGGGAAAAACAAGATGATTGAACAGATTAAGAATAATAGATTAGATACTTTCTTTCAAACTTGAAAAGATTCATAGATGTGGAATTCTTTCCTGATCTGTAAGGTTTAATACTGATATTGATATCAATATTATTATATCTACTATGTAGGAATTGTATATACGCTATGCTCAGAGTATATATACTAAGAGCAGTTCTTTTATCCAATTAATAATCGATAAACACATTGCTATACACACACATATATGCTTGGCAGCGTAGCATAATGAGTGTAGTGAATGTATTATTGCATTATTGTATTCGCTAACCCTGATTTTTCCCAAAACAAGGACAGGAACAGGAACAGGGACAAAGAGCCTGTTTCGCTGATACCTACGTATGTATATCTGTCTATCTATCTATATCGAGCTGGGTTATGCTATTCAAACTAACAAACGAACAAATATATATATACATATATCGATCGATCGAGTGAATAATTGAATGGATGGATGTGATGTCCAAGTATCGAGTATACATCCAAGTCGGGAGAGGATATCGATGTTAAGGTTGATCTTGATGTTGATATTGGTTGGCTGTTTGTATCCAGTTCCAATTCCAGTCCCATTTCCAATTACCATGTCCATGCAAGCCATTAATGATTCAAGTATTAACGCTGATCCGAATTCTTCTTTGCTGCATACATATGTAACATACATGCATGTAATTAAGCTTAAGCCCGCAAACTAACCAGTGGCTCCATCTCATGGCTTCGATGTATCTTGACTCGGTATTATCATACCATTGGCTCCAGATACGGTACGAGCTAAATCCTCAATGTGCCAATGTTTAACATTATCCCATGACCAGACATTACCAAATCTCGCAAAATACCATTCCGCTCAAATAGTACCATGAGCAGCATCAGAACTGTCAGCAGCACTAGTATCAGCACCAGCATCAATATCAAGACCAACCCCAGCACCAGCAACCCCCGGTCTCAGAATAAAAGCCGCCCGATCCCCACACCGCAAACAACACGAATTCGCCGCAAAATTCCAATAATGACACCTCTTCCAGCCGCATTTCCAATCACCGGCAACAAATGGAACGATGGACCCATCATCTCTCATTGCGCCGGGCGGATGAGTAGGACTGGGATGGTTTCTTTCTAGTGGGGTTTTGTCTTCTTCTTCTTCTTCTTCTTTTGTTTGCTTCGTCTCTGTAGGTGTTGTTGGAGGGGAGGTATTTAAAGCAGTATCTTGATCCAGAGTGGATGTGTCTTGGATTCCTATTGCCTGGTTGGTATTGTGCTCAGATGTCGTAGTGGGAGTGCTGTTGTTGGATTCTTGGATTAGAGGGTTGAAGACTCGTTCGGGACATTCGTATGTAACGTGTCCTACTCCGTTGCATTGCCAGCAAATTATGATTTCGCTTTCATTTGCCCATGAGATACGCGAAGGTTGTGCTTCTGGGATGTTTGGGGTATTGTTAGGTATTATTGTATTTGCATTTGCATTTGTATCTGCATCCGCATCCGCATTTGCATCCGCATTTGCGTTTATGGCATCTTGATCAGGAGAGCCGTCAGACAAAATACCTAAATCAAATGAATCCGGGGAATTCAAGACCCGGCATTTTTTCACATCATCTTCACCATCGCTTAATAGAAAATCATCTAGATTGGGATGATGAAGCGAAGTATCAAACTCATCAGGATGCTCAAGCTCGAATGAGATATCAAAATCATCTGGCAGCGGAAGTTCAAATGGAGAATCCGTATCGCTTGCACTTCCAACAGAAGAGTCCGTCTCAGACAATATTCTCGACGAAGCTTTAGACGACGCTTTATAATTACGCGCGATATCTCTTTGGGGAACTGCAATTGCAGGAACCAGTAATGACGATGTTTGAGTTGATATGGGGGAGCCAGAGGATAGAGCACGTCGCTTTTCGGGTCTCCTCAGAGTTCGTGTTCGTTTTAGCTGCAGGTTTGTAGATCCTGGACTACTTGCTCGACTGATATTCTTACGGAGATCCATATCTCCCGCATCCAGACCTGGTGGCGTCGAAGAACTTCTTCTAGTTGAGCCTTCTGGGAACTCTGTTGGCGGGAATAGCAATTGATTATTATTCAGAGCCGGATTTTGCAATGGTGATGTCCGTTCTTTCGAGTTTGTATCCTGTAATTCAGGGGATATGCTTCTATTTGAACCTTCTTGATTACCCTCGATTACAACGCTCAATTTTGGAGATTCTGTATTGAGATGATTTGGCCGTGACTTGGGAAATCCAGCACTGGGAGGCTTATGGGTTTTACAGTTATACGAAAAAGCACCCATGGATCCTAAAGATAGACGTCTTTTATTTAGCGAGATGGAATTAGAAGGTAGTATGAATTCAACATCTGATGTAGAGGAGAGTCTTCTCCTTCGAGGTGGTATGTAGACATTGGTGTTTCCGCTTTGTAATGAAGAGGAAGATTTCAGGCTGCAAGAAGACGGGATTCTTCTCCTTTGCGGTGGTACATAAATAGAAGATGTTGATTGTCGTGCCACAGATGAAGGAGCGCCTGCTTCTTGAAAGACATTCTTTGAGCTGGAAACTTTTGATGTGCGGTTAGAGGCAGACGTCGATTCGTTTTTTGTAACAGGAGAAGATTGAAGTTCATTCAACGACGAGGAATCCTCTTGTATTTCATAAACAGGAGGCGGCAACTTCGACTTAAGGACTTTCAAGCTAGCTTTTACATCTTGCGTGGTTTTCTTAAGGCCGGAAGTTATATCGGCATAACTTGTGGATTCCGACTCATCGCTTGCTACAGATTGTGTTTCCATTGCAACCACTATCGGAAATGGATCTTGAATTTTAGCAATAGTAGGTTTTTTGGAACTTTTTAAATTGGTGATTGCGGTAGCTTGTGTTTCCATTGCACTCAATATCGGGAATGGAGCTGGGGTTTTAATAACGGTAGGTTCCTTAGAAGATTCTAACTTGGGTGATATTGATTCTTGAACATTCTTTTCAGCTTTTGATATTTCTGAAGTTTGGTCGATGACATCAGAGCTTAAAACCTCCGTCTGGGAACTTATAGAAGGCCATTCTTCCTGTACTGAAGATGAACCACTGTCTCCAGGGCGCTCTTCAAGAGCTTCTGGATCAGGTGGTTCTTGCGCAACCATTTCAGCATATGATGTTTCTGGAGCCCAATTATTAACATTAGATGCTGAAACCTCCGTCTGAGAACTCATGGTAGGCCACTCCTGTAAGTTAGATATACTGGGGGCGTCAAGAACCTGCTGCGCTGGTGAATTTTCTGGCTTGTGTGCAATTTTTCCAAATTTTTCAGGTTGTGAAATTGTTGGAGCTTCTTTGGCAACATCAGAGTTTAGTTCTTTTGCCTCTGAACTCCTGGAAGGCGATTCACCCTGTGCTTTAGGCACAATATTTGTTTCGTGGCTCTGCTGCTTGGAGGGAGTCTTGGGTGACATTTGCCTAAGTTTTTCAGCATAGGATATTGTTTTGGCTTCTTTGGTGACAGGAGTACTTGGTGCTCTAGCTTGGGAGCTCGTGGAAGGCCATTCTTCCTGTTTTGACGATACCTCTTTGTCTCTGCGATATTCTTTTCTTAAAGGCTTCGGTGTTGGTGGTATATGCGCAGCTTTTCCGGCATAGGAGTGCGCTGAGACTCGGGGTTTGGATTCAACAAATCTCGTTTGGACATTATTTAATTGACTAGGCAAGGGGGGTAGAGAATCAATTGAAGACGAGGTAGAGACTGATGATTGTGCTACTCCAGATCCGAGATTATTTACTGGTCCTGTTTTCTCTTCGGCCTGTGTAAATCTGGAAGAATGGCTCTTTTCGAGGTTTTGTATCATTTGGACAGTTTGTGATTCTGGGTCATTCGACTGTTGGTGTCTGCGCAAACTGGCTAGTCTCGCCTTCTTTTCTCCTTTCTTCGCTATTCGCTGAAGCTGTTTGGTAGTTAGAGTTCCTGTCCTTTTCTCAAGCCCTTCGATTTCTTTGATCTGTCTCTGTAATCCCGATATCTCCTTCTTTAATGTCTTCTGTTTCTTCGAGAGTGCGACCTTATATTGTACACTACCTGTAAGTTCCATTGGTCTATTTGAGTCGCTTGATGAATTGTTTGTATCTAACGGGACGATGGATAGGTCTTCTGCTGAGGCTAATGAGTCTTGCCGATCGTGAGGACTAAGGCTACGTCCGTAGTTTTGCTCATAGACACGATACATATATTCATTATCTAAATCCCTGTTGAGGATGTTACTGTTTTGATCTGCTGTATTCACCAAATCCATAGTGGGACTCGACATTGTCTCGGGATTCCTGCGAGGTTTTGGAGGCGGTGATACTGACGGCGGGATATAATGCAAAGCATCAAATGAGGAATATGAGAAATCGCGGAAATCGGTGCAGGATGTGGTCTTCCATTTGAGCGGAATAAGTAATGGTTCTGGAGGCAATGAGAACCGGCGACGGTAAGCGCCAAACAAAACTTTCAGGTATTTTTCTTTTTCTTGCAAGGTCGCAATTTTCTCAAAAATAACATGATTCAGAGTCGCGCCATTTTGTCGCCTGCTCTCAAAACTTGCAAGCCATTGTACTTCGCTTAACAACCTCCTAATTCTTTGCTTGAGTTGCATTTCATTATCATAGGAAGCATGAAGCTCTCCCAAATAATGATCGATCCTTACTTCTAAGTCTATCAGTCTCATTCTTTTCGTCACCAACGTTTCTATCTCCTGAAGAAGCAAACACTCTCCTCTAGCTTGCTTCCACTCTAAATCTGCAATGTAGTCAAGGCTTCTGGCTAGAGTCAATATTCCACTCCTATTTTCTAGCATCAATGATGAGATTTGACTGCTCGAATTTAGAACTTCCTCGAGCTTTTGACTTAGGAGGGGTGAACCTTCCTCCAAGAGCCTGCGAAATCTTTCCAATCTATGCAGATGGTCTGTTTTGCGTGCCTGTTCTAAAATTCCTTCATCAACAAGTTTTTCCAGTTTTGATTCCACTAGTTCACGCATATTCTGGACCTCCTGCTTTGGATAAGCTTGAGAGGGAATTTTATCAGGATTATTCCACGCCGGATCATAATCTATATTTCTCTTTGGCCGGCCGCTGCTAATACATGAGCCTTCAGGCTTAATTGCTTCCTTAAGAGAGTATTCACATGTCCATGGACGTCTCGACTGATTCCAAAATTTAGGTATCCCGCGAATATCCTGTGTCCAACGAATTGGAGGACGATTATGTCTGGCCTAACCTCAAAAAGTCAGCCGCGTGTTTCCCATGTAGTTCAATATCGGCCATCTATACCGTGACTAGATAATGTAAATATGACGTCGATTCATTTTTCTTTTGGTTAGGACAGTGCTCAAATAAATGCGTCATGGTGTTGCATCTAGGACAACCTGAGATAAAACCGAAATTATCCACGGGACCCATGCAGGCCTGCAAAAGGTGATCTTCCGCATGACAGTTTGCACAAAAGTCCCTTCTTTCCTGTTGCGCAGCTATGCCAATATGTCCTTCATTGTTGGCACATGGTTTGTGTAGAAATGGAGATTCCTTGGCATCAGCTACACCATGGGGCGCATCCTTGATATCATTATTTGCATCATCGTCACGGCCATCGAGCAGCGGTGTTGTTTTAGTAACCAATTTATTGCCTGAAGGCGTAGTGTTATGCAATGGTGCAGCTGATGGTTGATATGTAGAAGGGAGCGAAACTATTGGGGTTTGCGGCGATTGTTCTGTTGGCAAAAACTTTAATGGACCTGGTGGAATGACTTCTTGTGATGTATTCTGTTCTATTGGCAAGGGATGTGCACAATTAACTGAACCTGAACTAGGACTCGAAGCAAAACGGCGAGCGGAGTCTGTTGCGGTAGCTGAGGAGGTTCGGGCCTCCCTTGCGCGCGGTGTCTCACCAATATTATCTGAATAGATTGGAGCATCTTCAGCTAAATTGTGTCCAGCGGAGGGCGGTGGCTTCTCATGAAGCGCTGTGGTTTGGCTCTGAGCCTCGGGATCAGTGGGTGTTTCCCTAGGTTTTCCTGTGGGTATATTTGCCAAGAAAACTTCATTGGGCCCTAAATTGAAGTTAGTATGCGAAGCGAGTTCCTCTGAACGTGTTCAACTGACAGAAGTGTTTCCATGTCTCAACTTGAGCACTTAGCTGTAGAAAGTGTTCAGGTATGTTCGATCCATCGCTTTGGAGTCTGTCAAGCATAGATCCATACCAGCTATAGAAGGATTTATATGATATTCCTTGAGCGTATGCTTTGCGGCCCATTATTTCCAGTCCACACACGTGATTACTGTGACCGCTCATATCGATTGATATTTGATGTATAAAATATGTTTAAAGAATAGTTAATAATAAATAGAATTCTTGGCGCCAAATGATACATGCTTGAAGAGTGATATTGATTCGAAAGGGAATTTAGACGTCGATTGTTGTAAAAGATAGGTGCAAATGGTTTGCTCTTGCCATATATCCTCTTGTAGTTGTAGCAAGTGCGAACATCCCTCTTCCCCACTTACTGCCAATCACTTAAATAGCGATTTCTTTTCTTATTGAGATAACTCACACATCTTTGGAATGTAATCAAATTACTCAATATCAGTATAACCAACATTCGTTCTATCAATTCAACGGGAACATTCGCTTAAATCCGCCTTCTTACATTCTTAGACCATAGCACAGTTCTATGTTCCACCGATATCACAATGCCATCCTTCGCTGAAATTCTCAAGAAATCATCTCGAGCGTCGAGAAGAGACCACTTCTCTCCTATCCGTGCTGACTGGAAACTTCATGGACTCGATTCTGACAATGAAAAATTGCTGGATGGTATCAGTAACCTCAGCTTGAACCCGACGGCCACCTCCAAGGCGAAAAATGGAATGAAAGAAGAATTCACCAACTCCATCTATTACAATCTCGATTTGGGGTACTCTAATGAAAATGGTAGCAAGTTTCATGATTCCCGCCATGACTCTGAACAGGGATGGCAGTTTAAGAGCAATGACTCAATTCGTACAAACAAGAGTCGTCGTCCAAAATTATCAGCTCAGATTGATCTCGATAGTGGTCGCCAAGGGTATCTACAATCAAGACGCGGCGATCTTTCAGGGATAGAAGAAGTAGAGGAAGAAGAGGAGTCGTATACTTCGGAGGGGACTCCTGTCGAAGCTTTAACAGCATTGTTCGACACTGATATGGAAAATCATCGTTACAAGCTTCAGCAAAATATCTCCAATACTACACTAGAGGAAGACAGCTCCGACGAGAGACTTGAGCCCATCGATTCGCGCTGTGCTCTTCTGGCACCTTCCGGTACTCGATGGTCAGCTGCAAGTTTAGCTGAAGATCATAAGCAATTTTCGGCGTCTGATTTGGACAAAAGATTGACCACGTTGAAGAAGCAGCAAGACAGCAAAAAGGGACTGCGGAGGAGATTAATGAGAAAGGTGACTCACAGACGTCAAGGCCGGAGGTTGCTTAGCAGGTCAAAAATGGGTATTGGTAGATCTGGAGGGAATTATATGGAACTGAGAACAAAGGCAGAAATATTGATATGACAGCGGGTCACACGTTACTTCTGTGGGAAACGGTTTCAGGATGGTAGTATATATATTTAGTCCTTTCAGCGATAACCAAAGTAATGATAGCGTTTTATAAATTACCAACTTCGATGAAGTACTTGCAGCAAACGTGAAGGTCAGTTAAGCTATTGGATTGTGAAACCCAGATTAGAATATTGAAAAGTGACAGGGCTATGTACACTTGTATGAATTTGTTTTTGAATGACAAGGAAGGTTAGAAACTCCTCGAGAATATAAATATCTCTGTGGATAAACCGCTGGATCAAAAAGATGCCAAATCCATCTTTGCTACAACTCTCCCCAACCTATCTCAGTGTCGAATACTATCATAACCCATTATCATAAACAATCTCCTCTAAACACCCAGCAACCCCACCACATGAAGTCAGATCTCCTTCCCCATAGCACTAATATCCTTGACCGCATCCAAATCTCTCAAAAACCCCTCATATTTCTGTCTAATTAATTTCCATGCCGTGGGGCCTAAAGGAAGTCGAAGCGGCACTTTCTCTCCACGACTAGCTATCATGTAGATAATTTCTGCTATGGCAGTAGGCTCGAGCATACCAATACCACTTCTGATACCCATATTTACCCATTTTTCAAGCATACGAGCGGGCATATCAGGAGCGGTATAGGCGGGATGAGGTGCCGTGTGGGCTTTTCCGTGGCCTTCGAAATTGGTTTTAACACCCGAGGGCTCGATTATACAGAAATTAACTAGTGGGATGAGAGGTTAGGTGAAGTTTAAAATCTGGGAGAATATAAAACATACTATTCCAATCAGGATGCATTTCTCGTGCTACAGATTCAGTCCAACCTTCTACGGCGTATTTACCGGCATGGTAGTAAGAACTACCCGGGAAAGAACATAATCCAGCGAGGGAGGAAATTTGGTATATTACTCCTCCTCGATATTCTTTGTGCTGACGCATAATTTCAACGGCTTTCATTGTTACTCTTGCTGTGCCGAAAAATAATGTCTCAATTTCGATATGCGCTTCTTCCTCAGTTGCGGATTCTGTGTCTCCGGAAAGTGAATAACCGGCATTGTTGATAACAATGTCAAGATGGAAAGAGTCGCCGAAATGCTTGGAGGCGGTAGAAAATGCCTCGTTAAGGCTAGTAGGAGAAGTTACGTCGAGGGCGAGTTTGAGAATGTTGGGGTTGGAATTAGGAAGATAAGACAGGTCTGAAGGGTTTCGAGATGTTGCAATCAAGCGCTGGTTTGGTTTGCTGGCAACTAATTCTGAGATAGCGCGACCAATGCCAGATGAGCAACCGGTAACTTTTCAGTTAAATAATTAGTTTATTGTTTTTTGAAGTCATCAAGGAGTGTAATCGCACTTAGCCAGGTTGCACCGATGGGTAATTCGTAAGGCTTGGTATTAACTGGATTCATCTTGCACCATGTAAGGCATTCGACAATTCTTCTGGTAAGATTACCAAGAAATATGATGCTCTATGAAGCTATTAGATATTCGTCTTTCCAATATGGATGACTTTGGTTGTCTTTATATTCTTCCTCTCATTAACCCTTACATCGCGCTATATCGCAATATAACTCAATAAATAATACCTAATCTTCACACACCATTCCAATCCCATATGATCAAAATCAGTAACCCCTATCACACCCCTCGCTTCACGGCGAGCTCAAATAGTTTCCCCGATCGCAAAGTGGGTTAGAAAAAATAGGTGGAGAGGACTGAGTCAGTCGGTAAATGCAGCAGATCCCGGCTTAGCGATCCCGTGATCCATCTTAGAACATCTCCAATCACTATACTACTATTTTAGAAAGTTTTGTTGCATATCTTAAAATTTGGATTTATTGGTCAATTGAGTGAGCTGGAAAGATTGCTCCGCGTGGTGCGCATGGCTGGCTGTGCGCGGTCTGGTGCTTAGACCTTACTCGTGGAATTTCTGTTGTGATTTTGATATTAATTTTGATGTATACGTATACGTAGCGGTGGTCAAAAGTCACCTATACAACTTTTATAAAGTTAAAGTCAGAATTGACTTCGAATGTCGAACTTTAGTTCTTGCTTCATATGCCGTTAACTTGAGTAAATAAATATCTCTGGATGAAGATAACTTTGTAAAAAGGATCACGAGGAAGACCACACTAGGTCTCCGTCACTGTAATGTCAAAATCACCGCATTCTCTATTCTTCTCGTGGCTCGCAACAAATTCATTGGGCCATGTAAGATCGACTAATTTTCTAATAATAATATCTGAAAGTGATCAGAAACGTGGATGCTGCATCCTGCCAGTGTGATATCTCTCTTACTGGGCATTCAAGTAGTAGTTTTCTCCAAGTAATAAATAGTACGGCGTACAAATATCCAAGCAATTTTTTCATTCTTTAACACACCTATCACGAATTTGCATGATGTTTTCAGATGGGTCAAGTATGCGCAATTCAATTTCCATCTATCCCACTACCTTACCACCCTTCTAAATCCCACCACCACAACTCGACAAAAAACCCCAAGCCAACTACCCCAGACGCTAAAATGTATACTCCCATACCTCAAGAGATATGACGTACAGAAAAGAAACCAAAATGATCCCCAATACTATCTACACAAGCAGCTCACAAAACATCTCAACCAATGCAACCAAAATAAACAACATCTAACGTTCAAACTCCTCAAAAACGAGAACTTCCAGTCTCCTCAGGCCCAGCGCCAATAACTGTAGATGCCTTACTTCCAAGCGTCATCGTGCCGGTCTCAGTTTTGAACTCAAGAGTCTTGCTTTTATGTGTCCCAGTGAATTCAGGAACTTGTGAATGAACGCCAGTTGGTTTAGCATGACCATGTTCAGCGCCAGTACCAGTGGGCTTGGCATGACCACTCGCGTGTTCCTTGCTTTCCTTGCCAGTGGGCTTCACATGGCCACTGTCATGAACATTAGTTGGTTTAGCGTGGCCACTTTCAACAGCACGAGCTGATTCATTATATCCAGTAGGTTTAGCGTGGCCGGATTCGTGAGCCTGAGTGTGTTCTTTGCCTTTCGTACCAGTTGGTTTTGCATGACCAAATCCACCTTCGCCCCCCTTGCCTGATGCTTTAGCATGTCCGCTTTCACGTGTTTGATAATCTCCGGTCTCAGTAGGCTTAGCATATTCACTCTGGTGAGGTTTTCCATCTTTGTAAACACCGGTTCCAGATGGATGAGCATTTTCCTTCTTTCCACTACCGGTTGGCTTTGCGTGGCCACTTTCATGTTCATGGGAAGCATTACCCGTAGGCTTAGCCTTCCAGTTGCTCACAGTACTGCCTTCGACATTATCGCTTTCGATAGCCCTTTGAGAGACATGTCCGCTTGGCTTTGGGTGGCTACTTTCGTGCGATTTGGATACATGATCAGTTGGTTTTGGACCCTCGTGAGACTCGACACCGGTGCCGGAAGGTCGGTAGTGATGGGGTTCAGTCTTGCCACCAGTTGGATGGATGGTAAATTTAGAGGTTCCCTCGTCGGTACGGGTAGGGAGTGGTTCCTTGGGCTTGCGAGAGCCGGTAGGGTGGATTTTGAAGGAGTACTCGATGGAGCCGGTGGGCTTGACGTGGATGGATCCGCTGGGATGAATGGCATCATGGGTCAGAGCGATGGGAGAGGCGGAGATCAGAGAGATGAGAAGTGCGGCGGTTGCACCGGAGATCTTGGAGAATTGCATGATGATGGATGTTTTTCACGTAATTTTTGGGGTTGAAAAGATGAATGCTTGAAGTGAACTCAAAGTAAGGACCTGCCAATAATAGTATTGAAGAATAGAATTTCAAGGAGTCTGATAAACAAAAACCTGAAAGGTAGAAAGTAAAGATAAACACTGCTTCAGAACCGATGAAGTAGAAAAGATATGATAGATAGATGACCTTGGCACACACACACATATATGTACTATTGCACGCAAAATAAAAGAGTCTAGACATGTCCTATATCTGCAGCAAGCCACTCATCCTCATCCCATCATCCAGAAACTTAAAATCTTCCCTCATCTGCGCCACTAATATCATGACGTATGCTCTTCTGGAAAGCTGCTCGATGCTTCCCCTAATCTGGTCAGATTGAGACAAATGTTCGATAAACGAAACAAAAATATTTAGAAGATAGGATTAAAGGAGTGATGAAAGTGTAAAAAGAGGATTTGTACTAAATTCACATAGACCGATTTCCCAGGGACTATGGAACCGGACCCTTCCCATGACGTTACTCCAAAACCCAAATTAAAGAAACTTAAAATACCAATCAAAGAAGTTTGCAAAAATCGAACGTAAATCCATAACGAATATCAAAAACAATACAATAACCCAGAAATAACCAGCTCGATTACGCACTACAATTAAATCCTCTCATCACAAACCTGAAACAATCCCCAACACCCCCTCCCCACCCCCCCCTGCGGTCAACATCCCCGAATCTCTAAAACACCACCTGCCATCTCATGTAGAAAGGAGTACAGACGATATAAACTAATCACGATAGAAAGCTTGTCATAGTCTACCTCCAAGAACGAAGAAACGCACACCAGCCAGAGGAACAAAACAACCCTGGAATATACCAAGCATCGCGGGAAGGATCAAAAAAAATACTCAATGATTGGCCAGAGAAATTAGTGCTTGCGCGTCTTTCTTACACCGTGGGATTTTAATTGTGGAATAAGCTGGGGAAGTTACTCAGGATCTGAATTTAATTTTTTTGGGGATCCTGATGTGCTTGCACCCGGTAAAGGTCTAGGCATTGAGCCGCGTATGCAGACGCTGACGTGCACATCACGACTTGAAACTTTATCATATTATTGGATTTATTTGAAGATTATAAATATTCTCCACATATATTTTCAAATATCAGTATGGTGCAACGAAAGGCATAAAGTTCAAAATTGGAAGACATCGGATTCGTCATCTTGACTTAATAACAGTCGAAAATAAGATATTCAAGCGCAGAGCGAAAAATAATTAGATCCTCCATGTCTCAGTGAATGATGAAAATATTTTGAGCACCAGGGGGAGGCTTTAAAGATCGAAATACAGTCCAAAAAATAGCTCAAAGTACTGTTCTATCCATACCATCAAGCAAAGTTATTATCTCCAGATTCAGATCTACGTGGCAGCTGCTGGTGAAACCGATCATACTTGACCGGCTAAGAAAATTACTATTAAATTCGCTGTGCGTCTTAACTGGTATCTTCTTCGGTCGTGCAACAAGCTATAAAGCAGCCATCTCTCATCTGCATCAGCTGGCTACAAATACTAAAAATGCCATATATTGTCCACCCATATTCCTATTCTTCATATCATATCATTACGCCAATAAATTCCAATGCAAACAATGCATCCAAAAACACTCGAAATGCCCCTGCCCCTGCCCTTAAGCCCATCCCATGAAATGGGCCAACTATCTTAAACCATCTTTCACGAATTACAGTCGAAGTCGCTAAACGCATCATAATCATATAACTCATCTCCATTCCACAAATCTTTGGATACCAATCCAATCCAATCCCCATATGCTGGCTCCACTAGGCTGCCAATTGCGATTGATCCAGAATGCCAAGCCACCAATGATACCAAAACTGCTTACTATTTGTAGAGCAACCATGCCCCGCCGTTTCATGTCTTCATTGAATTCCAGAATTCCAAGAGGATCGTGCGTGTTCAAAATCGAGCCAGAGGACGTTGTTCGGGAATAAGTTCCTCGCTTAATCAAAGCTCCAGTGTCGTAAGATCGTTGAGGCTGACGTGCCTGAGAGATTGGGACGAGTGTACCATCCTGTACACATTCCCCAAGTCTTTCCGTTAGCCATACTGCCCTCTCACTTCGCGCTAAATTTTCAAATCTAGCACGTTCATTCTGAAGACTTCTCTGTAAGTCAGTGGCCCATTTCGAAAGTCGCACTTGTGCAAGCTTCTCTTCACGCTGAGTGTGATCTGTTATACGAGCCAAGGCATAAGAGGTTGTAGCGCCAACAGGAGCAGTAAGTACTTGTGAGGTGGATGACGACATCATTGATTGCGCTAGAGGTCGATATAGACTTTGTGGTTTCTGCACGGTTGGATTATTTCGCCATTGTACAAATTTTTTCGCAGCAGAATTTCGCAGCCATGCTATGCTATCTGGCTCGAATAGTTGATCGACAAGGGCTGTAAGTTCTGATTGAACTAATGGTTGAATGTAGTCCGAGCTCATGAGAAGGCTTGCATCCATGGTATCATGATCCTTCGACAGCATAGTGGAAATTGCATATGGCGCAGCTGGCTGAGAGGAATGTAGAGCATCATCAAAAGAAAGTCCGAAGAGAAATGGTCTTATACTGGCCGCTTGAAGCTCGCTCAACACATGTCTTTTGACGCTAGCCAGATCCTCCAGAGACAAAACTTCTGATCGTGCTATAAGAGGGATAACATTTGTCATGGGGGATATACGTTTCAGGTATTCAATATCAACAGGTTTGATCCCTGATTATGAATTAGTTGCTTGCCTACATGATTTTATAGACACTTACGATTTATGATGATGTAGAATACGACATCTACTTGAGAACCACCATTTCCACCAAGTAAATGTATCATATCTGAATCGGTCATCCCATCTTTAGATTCCACCTTTTGAAACTGAGATTCGATATAATCGACTACTGGAGAAATCGCTTCTAGACACTAGAATAATTAGCTATAAGCTGATAGGAAGGTCATGATAGTGCAAAGCTCACAGAAGTCTTGTTGCCATAACCAGGAGTATCAACAAAGCACAGATTTCTTTCAAGAACAGAGTCACCCATATTCTTCCTTCGACGTAAGACCTTGCTTTCATCAACCTCTGACCACCAACTAGGATAGGCCTTCGTGCTAGCATATATCTCTGTGATCTGAGTTGTAGTCTGCATATTACCATCTCCATGTCTAGCTTTATGTTTGGAATGCCGCCTTTTCTCGGTGACCCGTCCTGGTGTAGTAGACAGGGGATCGACATGTACAATATCTTCGCATACTTGTACGATCGCTTTGATCAAAGATGTCTTGCCCACACCTTGAGAACATTAGAACAGCAATTTGCGACGGAATAAGGTGCATTCACCTGAATCTCCAGCAATCAGGACCTTTAGCCTCCCCATATTCTTTCCCTTCTCCGTAAATGGCCGCCTACTAGGCATTTTTATACTTGGCATAACCAGCTGAGGGGCAGAGCCACTATCCACCATCGCCGGTACATCGTTTTCGTCTTCTTCGCCAGAAACAATAGCCTGGCTTGATGTTTCGTCATTCAACGATTCTGTGTCGGAAATCCTCGAACCGGGACTGCTAATAATAGAACCTGCAGCCGCGGAATACACAGACATAGGAGTATAAGGTCTGGAAGCTTCGGTAGTGGAAGGGCGGACCGGAGACGTGGTTCCACTAACATCGTATGATGGTTTTCTGAAACGAGACCTCGAATCTCCTACAGACTGTAATTTCTCTGCCAAATTCTTCTTGAATCTCTCCCTAGCTTTGTCATATCTTCCATCTTCATCACCGCTGCCCTCAGAGAAAGAGCTAATTGTAGTGTCAATACTCTCCACACCGTATGTACTATTCTTCAAAGAATCTCTTGGTTTTAAAGGAAAACGAATAGGCTGAGCTTCTCCGGATTCTAATGTTCTCTCATCTGCAAGAAAGTAGCTCATCTGCGGCACCTGCGTTCTTGTTGCAAGTGGTGTTAACTCGTTATCATTAATACTCGTACTCCGAGATCTCCCCAAGTAAGCATCGTCGCCTGGTAAAGGGCGCATTTTGATTGTTGATAAGGAATCGTTAATGGTAAAAGCGGGGAAATAGATTTATATCATGCTTTAAATGTTCTTGTATAGTAAATTAATTTCTTCAAAGATGAAGATATTCAGAGACTCCCTTTATTGAAGCTTGAGGTTGTCTCGCAATACAGTCTAAGGCATGCAACATATGGTACCCCGCCGCGTGATATTGACTGTTATTCATTCATTGAGGCATACCGAGTACAGAGTAGAGTGATCGATTAGCGGTGAAATCTTATCTCCGAAACTAAGATACCGGCATTAGTGTCAGAAGCTGTCAAAGCACTGCAAACCTCCCTGGGCATCAATGAAGGGAGGAGAGGATAAGATAAGGCATCAATATATTAAGCGCCTGCATTGAGTTTAAGCGCCTTATTTAGCTTAATTTGGCTCAATTTAGCTCAATATTTCCTAAAATGAATCATAAATAGAGACTAAGCTAAATTTAGTTACTTTATCAACCATTCTTGTCGCTGTATCACCCATTCATATATAATAATTGCGAGCATTTTCCGACGATCCTATCTCGAAATAAAATTAATCCCTACCCAATTCTTGCTCCGTTTCTTTCCAGTGGGAAGGATCTCCAATTTAAATACAATCAATCAAAACGGCTTCCCACGGGTCGAAAGACGCGTTGTCGATCCTAGATCAACTTTGCACCCCCGCCTCCATTTTGTTCAATTCACGATATACAACCCTCCAAAGATCTTCGATAAAGCCTCCTTACACGTTTCCTCCATCTCCAACTGCGCAGCGACCTCTTCATTCTCTACCAAGTTTCATCAGCGTCCACGATCTCGACACCGAACACAATACAGACGAAATGGACAACAAGAGACATCCCAGTTCGTTCCAGCAGCTGGAGAAGCTAGGAGAGGGTACATATGCTACTGTGAGTTCAGAAAGGAATCCTGAGATCCAGGTTTTTGTAGCACGACTTATTCCCGAGATGTTATTCCGATATGTGCTGTTTCTGCGGCGCATTTGTGTATGTTCCTCGAAACTGACTCATACAAGGTTTTTAAAGGTAGAAATAGACAGACGGGTGAACTTGTCGCTTTAAAAGAAATCCACCTCGATTCCGAAGAAGGCACACCATCGACTGCGATTAGGGAAATCTCGTTGATGAAAGAGTTGAAGCACGAGAATATCGTCAGCTTACACGATGTCATACATACTGAAAACAAACTCATGCTTGTCTTCGAACATATGGACAAAGATTTGAAGAAGTACATGGATACATCAGGAGACCGAGGAGCTTTACCACCTCCTACCATCAAGTCATTCATGCATCAACTTCTTAAAGGAATTGATTTTTGCCACCAAAATCGAGTCCTTCACAGGGATTTGAAACCTCAAAATCTTCTCATCAACATGAAGGGCCAACTTAAACTTGCGGATTTTGGTCTCGCGCGTGCATTTGGTATTCCAGTCAATACTTTCTCCAACGAAGTTGTTACTTTATGGTATCGAGCCCCAGATGTCCTCCTTGGAAGTCGAACCTACAATACCAGCATTGACATTTGGTCTGCGGGATGCATCATGGCAGAGATGTATACAGGACGACCGTTGTTTCCTGGTACAACCAATGAGGATCAATTGGTACGGATTTTTAGAATCATGGGTACACCTTCTGAGCGAACATGGCCTGGAATCTCTCAATTCACCGAGTATAAGACAAACTTTCAAATGTATGCAACTCAAGATCTACGAGTCATCTTGCCTCAAATTGATGCGGTTGGTATCGATCTTCTTCAGAGAATGTTGCAATTGAGGCCAGAACTGCGAATCAGTGCACATGATGCTTTGAGCCATCCATGGTTCAACGATCTACCAGGGGCAATGAGACGTCCACAAGTACAACAGGGACAGATGCCGATGCAGAGGGGATATGCACCACAAGAGGTAGCACAGGGAGGATACCAGCAGTATTGATAGATTTCTTTTGGCATTGCGGATTTATGATACCTCTATCATTAAGGAAAGGCGTTAGACAGGATGGCATGGAGAGAGAGACTCGGGTGCGTGCGCTTGGTAGCTGGTTATGACCCATGATAATGAATTTTTTTTGCCTTCGAATGCATGCTATATCTATATACCGAGTCCATCTCTATACCATAGAACATGCTTTCCAGACTTCGATATCTCCGCTGGGCCCACAGGCTCGTATTCGACACTTATGTTGCATATCTGAAGCCTGGGCTGTGCAAACTTGTCACCACTTAATGTTTCTTGGCTCAACAATGCCTCTCCGAAATATATAGCTACGTGCGCAACTTGAGTTTGGGTTCGTACAATTGAATAAACATGCCATGAAGTGTTAAACTAACCTCGAAAATTTATGTACAGCATCAGAGCCTCGACTCCAGTGCGGAAGTCAAGTTATTGTCCAAAATAACGATTTCATCAAAAAAAAAAATATATCCCATTGGATTTAATCGAAATAAGAGGCCCTAACCGATCCCTAAGGCTGCTGGATTATTAAGTTACTCATTGAGAGCTCAAGGGCAGAATCACTTTCTTCCTGTACTGCTGTATGATGAAATTGGCTGAAGACCATCTACAGGAGGAGTGTAGAGCGAACCACGAAGATTTCACTGTGTTGTTAGAGTTTATGCTACTAGTGATGCAACTCGCACACATCTCCGTACTCGTCATAGAACAAATTACGGTATATTTGGGTAACCTAATACTGGTTTAAATAAATCAAATGTATCTTCTAGTACCTAGGGACTCAAACACAAACCATGGAGTACATACAATCAGATCCACATTAAACAAGAACCTGCAATATACACTTCATTTCTGCTGTTTGGCCTGCAGGTCAAAGTAAAAGAATATCCCGCGAGATCGTTTTTTCTTTCGATCACTCCCATAGTACCAGAAAGATTTTCTGGTGAGTCTTTTCCTGATTCTACGAGTTATTGATGGCTTTGCTCCGGAGGTGAATTCAAGCCTCCCTTTAATTGCTCTTGTGGATTCCTGAGCCAGAAGAATGTTCCGCTTCTGAGTAGAGCCAATATTCTAAGCTATACCATTCAGTTGTACGCTAGTCTAGTCCTGTTGAGCATAGCTTCTACCATATGAGTCTACTGTATCTACAGCTTCTTCGGTGTCAACTTTAATAGTTTCATTTCATCCGAGAGGCTCGTCTTCGTTCCGTGGAGATACATCTTACAATTGTTGGTTTTTAGAGGGCAAGAAAAATCCTGAGTCGATTACCTTTTTATTTGCAACTTCCGTAGAGTGACAAAGCTATCACCACAATGGGCATTGCCTCTGATTCTGGCTGTAAGATATTCGAATCGCCTGTTTGCTCACTCTTATTTCTGACAAATTATGTGGATGCGAAGTAAAGATATTGAAGAACACTAAGTTAATGGTCTTGGAATATGCAGGTCATAAAAAAATTACTGGGCTCTCTTGACAAGCTTAGAATTCACACAAATGCGCGGCTGATGGGTCCTTTCACAAGGAGGCCAGCACACACTCGAGTAAACTCCTGATACCCCGCTTGACCCCCGCCGGATACTGTTGCCATATCTCATATATAGCCTTGTTTACGACAACTATATCAGCAAGCTGATATAGGAAGCTCAGCACACCATTTAAGGGCATAGCAATAAATGAACTATTGTATTGAGACGTACCACTTGACTTGAGTTCTCCAAAGTGTCGAGGGAAATCGGCGATCGTGGAAAAAAACGATGAAGCCCAGAGTTAGGAAGTATCAAAAACGAATGCTTGGGGCGCGAGGAGATCGAAGACAATAAATTTCGGTAGAGTCGGCGGGGAAGTGATCACCATAGATATTCCGACTCAAAAATTGGAAAGTTCCGGCGAGGGCTGCATATTGATTCGTGCTAGACGTCCTGAACTGACGATGTACTAAAAAGGATACATATTGAAGGAATAGGTCACTTAAGAGAGTGTTAGACTGTCCAAATGATAGTGCGAGTGAGTGGACAAGGAGAAGCACTGGGGTTTAGTATATGGAGGATGAATCGGCACGTTTGTTACTCATGGCTTTTAGGAAACTTGATTTGGGAGAGGTGCTTGATACCTCGGAGGAATCTGTTTAGGATCTCTCATGCTCACGGAATTGTGACTACAGGCGACAAAACTGTTTGGAAAATTATCGAGAGGTACATCTTTGATAATGAGACTAATTATTCGAAAGTATTCTTATACTCGATCGGCCCGTAAGAGGAGGAAAAGGTTAAGTAATTGTATTATCTACGGCATAAATGGACTAAAAATTCCTAGAAATAAATGCTCAAATATATTGAACATTATGGGTGAATAGCTCATTATCACAAAAATGAGGACCATCGATGTCGATCTGGCGTAAGCAATATTTTGGCAGATCGTGGATGACTAGGTCTTTCGGGCAGACTCTCCGAGATACCTTGGCAGCAACTCTATTCGTATTTGCTCCTTCTTGTAAAGGTCCTAATGGAATCTGGAGCTCTTCCTTATTTTTTCTCCATAAATCATTAACGCTACAAGTCCGGGTAGGAATGCAATACAAATGAAAGCTAACAACGAATTGCCCCACCCTAGTCCTAAACGATCATACAAAGGTGGTCCAATGAGTGGTAGGATGGCAGCAAACAATGCACGAAGCACGCAGCACACAGCCACTGCCGAAGCTGCATGTAGCTCATGTACATCAACAAGATAATTCTCTGTGGGGAGTATCGACAATATAAAGCTAAAGCCCACGATCGCGGTACCAATAATTGGGACGATCCAATGGACATGCTTTTCCGCAGACCAACCGTAGAGGAAGAGACCGAGTGGGAGAACGATGGCGCCGAGGAGCATTAAGGGTAGTCGATGTTCGGGTTTGAGATAGCCTTCTTGAGACTTTTTGTATTTGATGTATCGGTCGGAGAACATGCCATAGAGTAGCATAGCTATGACATTTCCAGAGGCTGGCAGAAGTGAACCACATCAGTCTATATTCAGCGAAAGAACAGGAAATTCATACCTCTTCCCAGAAATGCAAGGCCTACGGGACCTTGACCAAGTCCGTAATCATCCTCTAGGATTGGAGTGAGTGTAGTGAGAATAACATAGGAGATTCCATAAACCAAAGCCGTGAAGAAAGATATGATAAACACAATCGGCGACAAGAAAAGCATTTTGATTGGCCTTAGCAAAGAGTCCTTTATATCGGCATGCTTCTCCGGACTTGTATATTTCGACCTCAGATTTTTGTTGCCTGTGATTTTGCGGAGCCGTTCTGTTTTCTGCTGCACTAATTTCACCTTGTATGTTTCCCTGAAAGTAAGAAACCCGAAGCAAGTCACTGCTCCCACAGCAATAACGACGATCCAGATGCTCCACCGCCAGCCCTTTGCTTCTGTTATATAAGAACCGACAATTGGTCCGGCGAATGGTCCGAGTAGTGGAAATGCAATAGCTACTGACATGGCGGTACCTCGATCTTCTTTCCTGAAGAGGTCCCCGACGATACTGGGCCCCAAGGTTACTGAGCAGACGACAAACCCGCACAAGAAACGAAAGGCAATGAGCATCGACATGTTGGTACTCAAGGCGCCTCCTGTGAGACACAGGATAAAGAGAATATTTCCAGCGTGATATACGGGCATTCGACCATAGAATTCAGATAGGGGTCCCACTAAAAAGGGTCCAACAGCTTCACCGAGTTCCCAAATCGACACGAGTAAAGTTGAGTATAGCTTGTTTGTAACGTGAAATTCCTCCATTACTCGTGGTACTGCTGGAACGATGGTGATAGTCCCCAAGTTACTATATTTGAACGCATCAGATATGTCATTGGGATGCATTTTGAAATATCGAATATCACCCTAGCTAGCACGTGGAGGAGGATTTGAGTGAAGACATCAACATACCATAACATGAACATCAATGCAGTACAGCTAACAATTGACCATTTTCGCCATAAGGGCCAATTGAGGGGGTGTTCGGGGTCATTTTCATCCAAGTCAACAACATTTTCATCATTGTCCAGAACATCGGCCTCCGTGGTCAAAACTTCTTGTTTGTCTGAGGGTACGGCAAGATTCTGGCCTACTTTTGTTTCCAATGCTTCCTCTTGTAAGGAAACGTCGAGAACTGGGTTATCCATTATCGGCTTCAAATGAAGTAGTGATTTAACTCAAGACAAGTGGCACAACTTGCCATCATTGCAGAGAAAATACTTTGTATTTGGGTCAACCAAATGTTGGAGTGCCCGAGAAAAAGCCGGCAATGCAACATCGAAACCTAGTCATCTAGACTTGCCGTTCAGCCCACCATTTATTTAACGATATGACGAACAAGCCGTAACGTTATGTCTTACACACGATTAGGTAGAAAGACTGCAAGCTTAAGGAAGGTGCTTTTAATCAATATCCGCCGTTCATATTACATGCATACTCCCTAATGTTTGAATTTCAAGCCCATAGAAATTTGACCGTCACTTCCGGGATCAAGGATCTTCACAGGTTCCTAAGACTTACATGGAGCATATGTAACTATAGATGCGAGATAGGTTTAGTCCCTTTGGGATGGGATGGAAGGGGTCCCAGATAGGATGATTCTGCGATCTGCGTATGACTGCTTGCCAGTGGCGAATCCAAACTTAATGAATAGCAGTGAACTCTCTGCTCCATAATAAGCCTGTAGATGGAATGTTTTCAAACTTCTTACAATATCAGTTCAACCTCATCATCACCATAGTACAGCGTGTCAAGCTAGAGGCTTGGAGATATTGGAGATACATTGACTTGTTCTTTACGCGGCGCGTGCACCCAGTGATCGTCTTGTAGAAAAGCTTGTAAGTAATGGCAACAGGGTTGATAGTCTAGCTAGCCAAAGTTGAATAACTCGGCCCACCAGGGCCTAAAAGATCTAAATGTTGGTGCCGGCAGATTTTTAATTCGACTATTGACCATGCCATTTTTTAGCGGAATCATGCGGCGCAGCTACCACACCTTCACTGGCCCCCCACAAATCCTTCCCTCTTATTCTAATAGAGGTGCTTGGAGAGGAAATAAACTAGCTATCTTTTTTTTTTTTCATTTGAGAAAATCTGTCGTTAAAGAAAACTAAGATAATTTAATACAAAACTAGGATAATTTGATACACTTTGTCCTTTTCTAGAAATAATCAATTCCAAATCTAATTTCAAAATCATAAGCAATATTTAATATAAGTATAAATACAAAATAAACAAATTAAAACTCGCTTCCCCTTTGAAATTTTCAATAAAATCAGTACATTCTACTAAATTCAAGAAAAGGTATTTTGAACACACAAAAGCCACTATAAAACCATATTAGGAAAGGTTATCAAGAGATAACTAGTTATTGCCTCTCTAGTGACCCAAGAGATGTAATGTTTGTCATTTTATTATGGGCAGGGGCCTGGAACAGTTGTGCGGGGACATCATGCTGTTTTACAACAGCCAGAGAAACATGCTACATAAACATATTTCAAAATGTGTCTTCGCTCACTGAGGAAACATTCTAGGTCGGGCAAGAACCGCCGTTGATCCAAAACAGAATGTATCGTGCTCTTCGCTCAAACAGCCCTTCAAGGGACGACTTTCCAGATGCCGAAAAATTCGTAAAAGTTCCCGAAAATCATGACCCAAAAAATGTTATTCGCAGGAATCTTTCGTGGTTTCTCTTCCTACTTTCATTGATAGTTAATGTCAGTCTTTTCGTCGTTATAACGATGAGAAAAGATGTTCCCCAATGTTTGGAAAGCTCGAAATTTGGTTTGTTGTTCCCTAACAATCGAGCCAGTCTCACTACATCAAAATACTGACCATTTAATTTCCAGCTGGATTGAAAAGAACAGTTCCAAAAGCATGGACTCCAAATAGTGGTGCCAATGAAACCGAGCAGGATGCGCTCTGGTACGAAACAAGCTATGATCGTGGTCAGATTGCTCTCGACGACGACTACGCGAAGGGGATGGGACTTCCCAGAGCTCAGCGATTTCCTTGGGACCAATCAAAAGGAATTTATCTTATAAATGCATATCATAACATACATTGCGTCGTAAGTTCATCCTTTGATGAGCCCACAGGGAGAAGTCTAAAGCTAATGAACAAACTAGAAAACCATTCGAACGTCAGTGGTGGAGTTTCACAACGACGTGCCACAGAGCTCGCCATATCTTCATGTCGTACACTGCTTGAACGTACTTCGCGATGAAGTTATGTGCAATGCTGATGATACTCCACGATACACAGGATTTCAAGAAAACCAGAAGAGCGGCTTAGGACAAGTCCGTATGTGTCGTGATTGGAAGCAGCTGGAGGCCTGGGCTGATGAGCACACTGCCTGTTGGAGACACGTTGGCGAAATAAGAGAGGATGGATTCCGCGAATTGGACAGATACCGTTTCTGTCCACCTGGGTCGCCTTATGAAGAGATCTCTAAAACTGCATGGCTTCGTCCAGGCCAGAGCATCGAATGACGTGGGTTAATAGCGCAGCGTTTTAATGTAAATATGACCTAGATCTCATGATTTCTGAAGTGATTGTTATGTTCCCTCCGCCAAGTTGATTTGGAAACATCTGTGACACAGCGTATGACCACCACCCCCTCACAGTATCTGATCTGACAAGCTGCTCATCTTGCGTCTTTTAATCGCCAAGTGATGCATTAAATCCACTCAAAGCGGCATTGAGAACCGGCACTGAAACATTCTAGCCTTATCCTAGGTCAAAGTAGTATATGGAGGAAAAGTTGAAATATTTTTGGCAGTAGAAAAAGTGCACAGCTGTTTATTCCACGGGATAGGTGAGCGGCTCCCGAAACCAAGACTTCACACTATCATTTATTGTTCTTAAGGTTACGAGGCAAAAATTTCAGTGTCAGGACGGTTTACTATAAGAAATTAATGATGCAAAATTTTCTTTTTCATTCTCGTAATCGTCAACGCAAGTGCCCCTCGGCCATGACGCCCACATTCCTTCATCTGCTCTACCACCACAATCCCGCATTCCTCCAGCAAGATCGATTCTAGTCCATCCAAATCCTTTACGCCCTCTTGTATATCCCCTTGTACAGACTTAGTGCTTGAGATCTGCTTGTGGGACAGGCTCGACCGGCCCGCCGTTGGAAGCAGGGAGTGCGGTATCCCAATCACTCAAAGGGTTTCGAACGTATTCGGTGTCTCGCTTTGAGGAAATGGCTTCAATTGACTGGGTCGATGGATATCTAACATACTCCAAATCCCGTTCTAGGCATCAATTAGTCTTCATTGTCACATTCAAAGGGCATGAGCTTACGTGTGTAGACTTTGACTGGTGCAGCAGTGATGAGTGCACACGCGGAGAAGAGGCACAAAAGTCGGAGTATTATTGCCATGTTGAAAAGTTTGAGTTTAGAGACGAACTTGGATGAGGGCGTTTGTACCGAGATTTCAAAACTATAGGGTCTAATATAAGCCTTCGGTAAGAAGGAAACCAAATAGCAAAGGAAGACTTTCCACCTGGAGAGATAGTCCCCATAGTACCCCAACAAGAGTTATGTTGCTACCATCCACCAGGGAAAATTCTCTTGCTGCTTTTTGGCGACCTAGTCTGAGACTGGAAGGTATGGTAGATCACAATATATTGGTTTAAAACTTAGCAATTGTTCAAGAATGTATCCATGGATTTCTTCCAATATTGACCCCTTTGAGGTGCAGTCCATTACGTAGGCCGTTCTGCAATACGACGTAAATTCGTTCCTTTGTTGGCGATAGATACGCATGTAAACCATGGAATACCCAGATGTAGTAATGTATTGTAACATCCCCCACTCGCGTGAAATACGCTAGCACGGGAGCTAACCGTAGCTGCAAGCCACCTCCGTTGAAGATTTCCGAACGCCCATGTCGAAATCATTCCGAGACACGGACTTGTGAGAAACTCTTGAAGAAATACATTTTTAAGACTTGTGCATGCGCCCCTAGCAATGAGATGTGTCGTTGACAAGGGGCAGATGAGACATTTGATGACCAAAGCTCATAAGTGGAGACGCATCTTCCAATGATAAGCAATAGATTGACCCAGAGGTCTGGTTCAGAGTGGAGGAGAGGTAAGTGCGCTTGTAAGTCAATCTAAAGCTTCTTCGCAACGCACACGATTCTAGGAATACATAAAGCCGCGCCCACTGTAGACTCCTGATATCCCTGCTGTATCAGCTCATAAAACTTGTTTGCCGCGTCTACCTTCCCCATCTTCACTAAACTAGACGCAAACTCATCCATTGTTAGGAGATGTTGCTCGTTGAAAGCTCTGGTCAGACGATCTTCATCCCCGAAGTACTGCATTTTCACATCCTGGAAACCTGCTTCTTGCAGAAAGTCTGGCAATTTCACCGTCCAGTCGTGCCTGCCATTTGCCCATGACATTTCTCTGATCTGCTCTAGAGCCGGCGTTTGGAGCTCGGGATTGGATTTCTTGACGTGCATGTTAACACAATCTAACTCGTCCCACTGCAAGTATCCTATTCTATATTAGCAGATTGATTGGCTGGATTTGTCGACGACTCTAACCTCCAGGTTTCAACATCGTCAAGAGCTTCTGAATAAAAGACTGGGGGTTGCCGTTAAGAACCAGTACAAGTAGCCGCACGTGAACATAGTCGTATTTTCCAACCATATCGTCTGGCAAATCTGTGAAGATATCCCAGTGCCTGACAGACACATTTGAAGGTAGCCAGCTTTTGTGGGGGGCTTGGCGCACATCATTGTCGAAGCCGTGGAGTTGAGCTTGCGGAAAGTCGCGAGCAACATCCAGAAGCCAGGCGCCGGTACCTGTCGCCACATCTGCAACAACGCTTTCATTGGATAATTGAATTGAAGGGTGTACCACAAATTGAAGGGCTTCCTTCCAAAGATAATACTGGAGATTGAGACGACAGGCTGCGATATGGCTACGATCTCCCAACACGTAGCCATGTCCGTCAGCCAAACTCCAGTCCACCTTTGAAGATTCTGACATGGTGATCGTTACGGATGGTTAGACGGAGATAGGAATGATGAAGTGATACAGCATTTACAAAATCTTCAAATAGCAAACCAAATCATCACCCTTTAAATATAAGTGGAATACGGATGGCCGGATAAGGAATATCCGCAGGCTGTCTGCACTGTGCCGCAATTCATTTCACGTTTTCTGTCAAGTGCATATACCACATACCCTCAAATTTAATGTATTTATTGTGATTGGCTACTTATATTTCGACTTTATGTATCCATGATATTAATATATTTCGAAAAGAGGAGGTATCTTGTATTTTTGAGCAAGTGGGATAGGCAAATGATGGCTATCGAAATATGATTTGAATTTTATGCACGTTAATAATGATTCCATAACTTTTTAATCCTAGCGTCCTCTCCATATGAAACACTGAAGGTTTTAATATACTCTGTAGATTCTGCAGCAGAATTTCTGCTGGAGAAATATCGTCGCACCAATGATCGTTCGTCACCCGTAGTAGCAAACCATCTTTAACTAACCGTAAGACTACCACTACGGTTTGCCCGAAATTCTAGTATGTGTTTGTGCCGGTCGTTGTGGGACCAGAGGTAATTCGAATCCGTCTTCCACGTGTGGTAGCTTGTACACGTGTCCAACATGCTCAGAGGCAACGAAGCTGCCACCAGAGTGCGATGATTGCGAAACCTTCTTTGTCACCAGAATCTCGGTGTCTGGTGCAGTATTGTCGTGGGCTCGAGAGCTCGAAGTTCCACGTGATCGTAGGGAATTAATTCCTAGAAGGCTCACCACGCTGGAGAAGGGGTTGCGAAATGGTGGTCGAGCTATGAGGTAATGAAGAGTGGGGAGACAGGCTGCTATCAACGCTACGCCACTCTCAAGGCTACTGTAATATAATAGAATCGTGAGAGTTACTATCGGATAATATCAGTATAAGTCAACGATGCTGGAAAGCACAACTTACAATCAACATCTGTATGGGCAGCATAGCCACCATCAGAAATTTCTAATTGAACCTTCAACCTTATAATAGCCGCAACCAAAGATCTAGAAGATATCAGCCAAGCTCCATAACAAGGGGCAAGTAACTTACCCAGCAGCCAGAAAAAATATTCCTGTAATATAAAGCTTTTGAGACCATTGCATTTTCAGCCTCCACACCTAGTACTGATCAGCAGAGTGTACATAGAAATAAAGGAAACGGGACTAACCACAGGCATCGGCAGAAGCCAGACTATCGCATCTGTTATAAGATCCGATATCATGAGACCATCCAGCCTCATGTTAGTATTACATTCCATGATAAACATCAACGGCTTCCAGGGGTTTGTAAAATGAGTCCCACAGCCAAATATCGTTGCGAACCAGAAAGCAATTGTCCAGAGTGAGCAGATCACTATGAGCACCTTGGTAATGGTATCAAATGTGGTCCCCTTGTTGACCACGAACAGGCGACGGTACAAGAATATCGCACTGAGCTTAATCAAACCATTGGCCGGGATCATTAGTAACCAGATGATCCAGTCAAGCTACCACCGTGTCAGCAACTGTACTTTTCGTTGATGCCATTAACTTTCTATACCAGTTCCACTAATGTTTGTGCTGGGACAATCTCTGTCAGTTGTGTCTCCGGGGTAGCATTGGGCAGCTGTGGCGTAGGATATCCAAGGCTATGTTTCGCAGCTCCTATTCCCCGCGTTAGGCCTACGAACGCAAGTAGTGGATAAAACCAACCGTAGATAAGACATATACTCATTCCAATGACGAAGAACTAGTAAATATGTATCAGTAGAAGTCCTTGTTTGAAATATTACATTCTTACCAAAGCTACAAGAATTGTGTAGTCATCTAGACCAAGCTTAGCTTTCTGGTAGGAACGAAGCCAGAAACGAAGGGCCACAACGATAATCCCTACAACGGGAAGAGTGATTCCTGCAGAGAGGACTTCTCCCGGCCCGATGAAAGAGATGGCAAGTTCGTTAGCAGACATAGCTCTTCCTTTTGAAGCTAAATTCGGTTGAGGAACAGGTAATAATCAGATGTAGTTGATGGAGTGAAACACGTGGAAGAAAAGTTTGCTCGAAGAGTGTAAATAAGAGTAAAACCGGGCAGCATCACAACTACTTCACAGAATATGACATTTTATGCGGCGATGGCCTCAGCCAAACTTCATAACCAACTTGATAGACATTAAAGCCAGGGTATTGAAACTTGAAGATTGCCCAATACTGCTGTGCCTCTCCAAATTACATGGTGTGAAATATCAAATGCCTCCACGCCGCTAATAAACATAAGCGCAGGGTGTGAATGCTACGCTGAAGAAGTTGTTACAATATGTTTTCAAGGGAGTGAAATTCGACAGTGTGCGAATATGACAGTGTGGGTTAATTAAGTACTAAGCTTTGACTGCGAGGGTGTGCTTACCCTAGTCCGATCACAGCCTTGCATTCTTGCGCCTGATAAGACAACCCACTTCGAGCTGTATTATCACCAAAATTTGGTGAAAATCTGCGCTCGTAGATATTAATGTAGTGTTGAAGATGATGAATGATGCTTTTCAAGTAAAATGAACACCACATGTAGAAAGTCCCTAGGCTTACATGGCCAAAAATACTTTTTGGTGTGATTTTTGTGGATAAGTTGGGATCGACTGCGATTACCCATGAATCCACCCACAAACTTGCAATTGCTGAACCACTCCATAATTTCTGATTTTATCCTCCAAACTGCGAAAAGAATTACGGCAAGTTCGTGATTGGATATTGGTGATTTACCTGCCTAGCTAGGTGAATTCAGGACATGAACAGGATAGGTGAGATTCTGGTGATGACTACTAAACACCATCGAATGAAAGGCTTTTCTGCGCATAAGATACCATCACAGAATCGAAACCCTTTCAGTTTACCCGCAATTCCAATGGAATAGCGTGAGAGACGAGCCACTCTAGCTCAATCAGTTTCGCAACTAGATGCGGTTGTGGGTTTGGCTCATTTCTTCCCTCGACATGCATTATCGCTTGTTTATCGCTATTTTTGTATTGAATACTTACCCCCTTCGTGTCAGCTAAAGCTCATAACTAATAAGATAATCATTAAGGTCCCGGTCTTCCAGAGGAGTTCCTCACGGTTGTCAAAATACTTACTAGCCTATTGGATGGAGAAAGGTGGACAATCTGGTGTATTTAAAAGATTCTGTGCCCTTCTTGCAGCATCAGTCGAGCCTATAGAAATGGTGGTCAATTCCAGTGTACGTAGTTTAGATGGGTAAGTATTGTAAGACATTTTTTACCCACATATTGCTGTTTTTCTGTCTTTCGATGCTTTAATCAACTCAGATAGATATTGAGTTGTTCCCCCTCAAGATTTCGAATCTTGAAGTTTTTGATGATTTCAACGAAATTTCAACGAATTCATGATTTTGAAGCCTTTAAAGCTTGTGTAACCTTTCTGAATCACTTCAGAAATCACTTCAGAATAAAATTTTGAATAAAAAATTGAAGATTTTGATTAAATTTTACTAGAAAAATGAAAATTTACAATACTTTAACCACCTAGATTTCACTATACAAATTTTCAATCAGGGTGATGATATTATTGGTCAAAACCCCTGTAAACGAGGAAGCACGGTCATTTTTTTGGTGTGTCTTACAATACTTTCCCCAGCAACCTCCGTAGGTTGAGAGTCACATCTAACAAGTTCGTAGTTAATCCAGGCATCCGTCCTGTCACACAGCAGATGCACATGAACATGAACATGCCCTTGGTAAGGTGAGGTCATTTCAGCTGTTCACCGCCGAAGCCTTGATCTTTTCGGCAATGAGTTTTGTTATTCTTCATGATCAACCGAAAGGCCTTTCTCATTTTTCTCAGGTGCATCTAAGTCCGTACAACCTTGCCGGATCGGTGTTTCACATATGATACTGGGTAGACCTCTCAACTGAAAAGAGGCTGAGCACCGTTATGTTTTGAACCTTGAGATTGTGTTTATAGTATTCCAATCAATTTTATCACGGCATTCACACCCGGTCCAAATGCCAAATCCTCCAAATCCTGTGATTATTGCCATGCTCCAATCAGGTCATTATTTAGTTAAGACAACCTACCCCTTATAGTTTACCATCACGTTCTGTTTCCCACATCCACTGCAAGAGAAGAGGTATGTATTAAGCCGGATGCAAGGCGACTGTGTGCATTCATGGACTTCACATTGCGCTGCTGCGTATTTGAATCTTTTTCATCACAATACTCATCTCCGCATCCATCACTACCATTCGCGGGGTAGTAATCTTCTTCCTCCCCTACAAAGGCACCTCAATTTTGGATGGCAAACGCTAGACACAGGCGTTGATCTTTCACATCCAGAGTCAGGTGCAACGCCCGTCTGGCTCGCACGATCGCAGTCCTCAACCTTTTGCTATGTAGGACGATTATGGCCACGCCGCCATATTTGGGCTCTGTGAAGGATTCGCACAAAGGTGTAAGAACGCCGCCAGGTGAACTTACTGTATCAAAGGGCTAATTGTTTTGAACTATATAAAGACGCTAATCTTTCGAGCTAAGATTGATGCAAGTCCATCAGCGTTAAGAAAAACTGCAATAGTCTCAATAGTCGAACCACTCAGCCTAGCAGCAGCTGAAGCTACACTAACTTGCCACTGACTATCTGAAAATTGTGAACTCACTAGTTGCGTCCAGCTGTGGAGATTCCAGCCGCGGTATCGCTCCCTATTATCATAACTCTGACTTGAGCGATCATTTTTCCATAACCCCACCTCGTGTGTCTATCCTACCATCAAAATTATGGGTTGAGATCATCTTACACTTTGCATGCAAGCATAAATTCTCATCATTGCATATGTCACTACATGCCCACACTTTTGCACCGCACAGTGAGCAATGAAGACTTCATGATCTCTGAGTGTTTTCTGACAGGACCATGATACTTTCTGGTCTAGTCATCTTGAAGGCAGGTCATGGCCGGAATGCCAAGCTCATTGCCAGATGGGAGAAAGGATAATCTTGAGTCCAAGATCTAGAGCACCAGTTTTAACCATGGGACATCGTACTCTCAACGCATACTAAAATGCTTAAGGAATGGTTACAGAGGTCTCATTCCAGTGGAGACATCACAGTCGTCCCATGATGGGACGTCATGTAAATTTAAGATGAATAACAATCTTGAATTGAAGTCTATTCGTGGCACATTTGGCTAATGGATTGATTTGAATTAGTCGATATCTTCAAAAGTGAGACAATGGCCAATGACCTTTGTAACGTAATATTAATTCATATTATATAAGTACCCCAAGCCAAAATTATCCTCGTGGAATCCCAATACAAAATCGCCTTTCCCATTAGCTTCTCCCATGGAAGCTTGGAATATCATCCAGTCTTCTGACAAAAGACTGCGAATGCCCAACTCTTTAAGAACCGAATAGTAAAGCATCAGCTCTAGCGCTTAGAGTGATACTTCAATGAACTTGTTCCGAATCATCTATAACCATAAAAATCGTACATTGCGCATGTCCTCCGAATTTGACATCTTCATCACAATTTCAAATCCAAATTAGGTGACTACACCTTACTCCGCATCGACCTAACATCAAGCCAACCTCGTCTTTCCATACCCATCACCACTCAATTCCCTCACAGGGTGAGACACAGGCATTTCAAATTTATGCTCCGGAGCATACATTTCAAAAGCCGTCGGTTCCTGTGGCTGAATCTGCGCATAATCCGCCGATGATGCAACCGCTGTCATTTTTTCGTTCATATTCACATCTGATGGATAAACCGTGTAATCGCTTTTCTTTGCTTGTCGCTTTCGCCGCCAGAAGAAAAGTCCTGCCGCTAATGCCAAGAGCGCTATTATCGTAATGCCGATCCCAATTCCTGCTTTTGCTCCGCCGGAAAGACCGCCCGTTGGTGCATTATCATTATTCGAATTGGCGGCTGAAGTTGGAGATGTAGAAGCTGAACTAGTGTTGGAGCTAGCATCGGAAGAGGCGGTCGGACTTGATGCAGCTGTCGTGGTGGCAGCACTGCTATCTGACGAAGTAGTTGGAGTGGATGTCGCCGAGGTTGAAGTCGTAGTTGACGTCGTCGAATACAATCCCAAGGTTATCGGCGTCGCACGCTGAGTCTGCTCCACGGTGAAATGCGGACTATTGGCACCTGCACCACCCGTGGAGTCTGGTTTCAGATCAAACCAACACGGTGACCCACCTAACCATCTGAAGTTTATGGGTGCAGTACCATTGTAGGCTTTGACTGTAGTTTGAGCTTCTGTAAGACAAAATATGGGTGAGTCTCCATGTTCCCCATACCGTTATTTAGTTGGAGCTTTATGATGAAAACTTACCAGTGATTAATGGAGCTGTAAGATCCGAAGCATTTTGGCAGAAAATCCAAAGTTGGGGTTCAGGGAATAGAGATGTATAGGTTACATTAATCGTATCGAGATAGTTGACTGTAAGATCTTTCGGTGGATAAAGAAACACAACTCCATGGTCATCGGCAACAGCATATCCTATGCTCCACCATAAGGAAAGAAATGTGAAGATGTAATGGCGTGAGCAATGCATCCTGATGATTGCAAAAATTCGACGTCCGAGTTTTAGTTTCACCGAAGGTCAAAATCATTCAAAGATTCCATGCCGGGTACGTGAAAGATTTGAACCTCGTGGGAAATGTTGCACGAGGGTATGAGCCTCATAGATTCGAAGGCTAGGCCTATGCCCAGACCACATAGATGGGATATATGGGATCCTTTCCTTGCTGCCATGCAAATCTCATCTAAAGAGTGGAGATCTGATACTTCATCCTCCTGTCAACTTTCTTCATGAGGGAAAGAACGATAAGGATATGCATTTTGTGTCCCAATCCCTCGAAAATTGGTTCTTGATTGGTTTAGCGAATTTTATTTTGGGGTACATTTTTATATAAAGAGTGGGATAATGCACGGTTAGCTGTTTTTTAATTGGCTGATGTCAATCTAGCCAATAGTTTTCCGAAATTAAGCTTATTCTTCCCACATCCCCCTGTCTCATCACCAACTTTCTCATCTCATCTTCTCCTCATTTCATCACCTCATGTAAGATTTATGTTTCGAAGGGTTACACCGCCTCAAATGTGAAGCTTGTATGCACAACTCGGCTATCACACTCTCTGCTTCAAAAGGAACTGAACACGTGCTCAGCAGCACGGACATGGTGTTTGTTAGGTCGAAGTGGAGATCATCTCTCATCAAACAGGATTGTGAAAGATGGATGATCAGACGGCGTTTAATGATGAAAGCATGGCCATATTTTCACAGAGCCCGCATTTGCCAAGTCATTACCGCCAAGGTTGCAACACTTGTGACATAGGCAGCAACTGCAAATGCTCCTTGGATATCCTTTTCCAACATTGTCCAACAGATCGCAAATCCTATCCCTAAGATTGAGGAAACAATAAACATAACGGTCACAGCCAAGGACGTATTTAGTCCTTCCACAAAGTGTAATCCCCAGCCTAGGTTGTCGTTGAGACTGTTCGCTTTAAAAGTGATCGGTTCAATCTTCCTGCGGGGGATTCGCTGGAGGTAAAAACTTGAATTGACCTGAGATATTGCAGAACAATTTTGGAAAAGATGCAACATGTGCTTTGGACCTATAGGCGGTACCATTTTCGAGGATAGTGGAGGTACGAAGTCATATTCATTGGTTGTCGACGGAAGATCGTTGGGTTTGATATGATCAACATAATCATCCGGGCAGGCTTCGAACTGCGCCAAGTCAGCAAAAGTCATGTAACATGTAAAAATTCTTTTTAGGGGGGTTGGGGGGGTTGAGAAAATTTTTTGCGTTAAACAGCCAGTCTGTAAGAAGCTTTACACGTCGTTGGTCAAGTTCTAGACGTATACTTCGCCAATGCTTTTTGTGTCGACGACTGCGGCTATCACTGTTCAACCTAATCCGAAAAAAGTCGCCCGGAACTTAGAGGGAAACGAAATACCAGGAAAGGGAATATCATACACCTATAAACTCGATTTTCTCAAGTTTGAAAATCAACCAATCTTTCCACGTTTTTTCCTTAGAATAGGCCTGTTTGAGAGCCTTAAAGAACGTTTTGTCGGTCAAGGGATTCTGTTCGTCGTCCTTACAAACGTGAAGTGGCTTCAGGTGAGTTGCATATGGTCTTTTCTTCATGCATAAATGAAGCCAGCGGCATTTATCGACAGGAAGGCATACTGTGCTTTTTTTAGAGCTCGATTGCACAAATACTGGTAGGGACGTCTGGCGAATTCTGGGAATTATTCTGGAAATGAGATTTAGACCGATTTGGGGCTTTCTAGGAGCCCAATTGTTCGTCCTCCCTGGCTGCCTTGTTATCTGTGCTTGGGTTATGTAGCCTGCTTGCATCAATTCTTTTGCGAACTCTACGATCGCACCTTCCTGGCCTGGCCACTCGCTGAAATCGTCATAAGAGGTACATCCGCATTTCTAGTTGGTAGTACAGTGTTAGCATGAAGTTGGAGCTTTAAGTACACATTTAGATGGATTGTCCTTACACATTTCCAAATCATGCGTCGAGTGCCTCTTAGTGAATCAGAGTTACCACCGAAAACTCTTTTCAGGCTAGAAATTATCTTGTCCTTGATAACATAATTTTGTGAGCTCGATTTTGCTAGATCGGAAAATAGTGTTTCGAATGTGATCTGCGGCCCGCTGCTGTGATGTTCGTTATTGATTTTGTGGGTTTTTGGCAAATATTCTCTCTTCTCCTTGATACCAGTCGTTAAAAACTTGTCGATATTTTTAGATCGAACTTCCGAATCATTTAGAAGCGAAGATGAAGATGAAGTTATTGAGCGTCTGAAGGATCTTCCGGATCTTTTCCTGCCTATAGCATCCGCTTCCAGTTTTGGAATTTGTCCGAATCGTTCCTGGGAGAATAGCTCAGGTTCATGCTGGTATACGCGTCTCCACGTTTTCAAAGCATAATTTATGCAGAAACTCGCCTCCGCAGGAGAATATATAACCCAAAAGTATTCTCTATATCCAATACATATTAGGTGATCTATACGATGCCAATCCGGCACTTCCCATGGATTTCTTTTTATCACACGAAGAGATGGAGGCTGTTGAAAAATTTGCAACAGCAAAATGAATCTGGGTATCCTATCCAAAGGCAGTTTTGAGGTACGCTCAACGTCAAAATTGGGTGTATCAACGAAACTATTGGATGTGTCATGGTAGTCGATATCGAAAAAAGCTGGATGCTGGAAGAATTGGATTTTACCGTATTTTCTGTCGAGTGGGGAAGATCTTTTAGCCTCTGCATATATTTTGACTTGTCCAAAGTGGGTATTCATACCTATGGCGCCACAACAACTCGTGCACATAAATTCCGCAAAAGTCCAAAAGATACTCAATTGGAAAGGCTTGGCCTATTTGGGCATTGTAGAAGAGCAAAAGAGGATAAAGAGAACCTGAAATATGGATTGGAAGTGGTGGATTAGTAACGCGGCGTAGAGCATTGTTCATCCGCAGAATCTGATCTGAAATCGGCAGAGGTCTTGGAATAAGTGCCTCTTCATGTACTAGCTGTATGAAGCTGATCACTGGTCCCCAATACCCAATGTCCATGCTATGTTTGGAGAATTTTTTGAGAGGCACACAAAACCTATGAGCAAGATAACCATCCGATAGAATCAAGGAAATTGTATCGAAGACCCAATTGACGGCTTCGTGTTCAGTCTCGAGAAAAGCGTCCGCCGTCTCGTCAGTGGTGACGTATAAAACCTTCAAGTTGTGCGGAGAATGGTGTCCATGTTGGAATTTCAGCAACGATATGACTTGCATTTTGTCCGCATGATCAGAGAAAATATCACTCAGGCCGTGGCAAGTTGAAAGCGATCGTGAAATATCATTCAACTCCTGGCGTATTTCTTCATTGCAGCCGCCAGATGTAGCATCTAGAGGTCCTACGTTCCCAGCCCATGGTCCAAGCAGGAAACTGGATCTAGAGGACAACGGTGTCCGTGGCTCTGAGTGAGGAGGTGTCCACCATCCCTCTTCTGCTGGAAAAGTTGCGGACAAACTAAGCCTTTTCAATGAATTGGTAACATCGTCCAAAAGAACTGAAAATGATTGTCCTCCGGCGTCAGGAGTAGCAGGTCGCGGACCCAGTTCTAATTGGTTTCCTTTCTCTCTATTTCCTCCGATCGAAGAACTGCTGTTGTGATAATTTCGTGATCTAGATTGCGATGCCAAAGTCTCTTCGTAGTAATCGACCATGAAACCCACATTTAAATCATCAAAATCATATAAGGATCCATCAGGGGAATTCAACCATCTCAAAAAACTATGAGAATTCGATAACTCTTCTCTATCAGGAAGGATCCGCGGCACCTCTTTCGAGTCATCTGGACCTCCATCCCACGATCCATCCTTAAATTTCCGGATAATTCTCTGCACCGATCGATACATCCTGAACAGTGAAAAATTAGATCTCGACAATTCTTCGACTTCGAATGCACTTCATCGACCCTCAATAATCTCACCCCAAAAATCCAAACAGTGATCCACAGAATTCCGCAAAAGATATAACCACAACACACTCAGCATCAGCAGATCAGAAGCCTAAATAAAACCATAAGCCACCGAGGCTTTAAGGTTATGGTTAGGCTCGACACAGCCTTATTCGGTATGAAACTGAGTATGACATTGTCATGCCGTGTAACTATCTACACAGCCCTCGAAATGCCACCACAATTTCAGCTTTATCTCCTTATCGGCTTACAACAATCTCAACCACGGAAATACATATGATGAAAACAAGAAATATTTTTGAATACAAAATGCACAGCATCAAAAAGCTCACCAAAGCTCCGAACTTCGGAATCTTCCAAACTTCCAGATCTTCAGACCTCGGAATCCTTCCAAACTCAGATTTTCAAACCTTTCAACTCTTCAAATCTGAAAGTCTTAAAGTCTTCAAGCCTTTTTCAAGTTCTAAAGTTAGAATTTGAATTACTAGTAACTTTAAGGATATTAATTATAAGATAGAAAAGATTACAGACAAGGGTTTGTATTTGAGATATAAATATTTATATTAATAATAAAACACTATAACTTGAGTCTAATACTCTACTTTTGGACCACCCCCCTTTTGGGCCACTTTTCCCCACCAAAAATGATGAAAATCAACATTTATAAATTTCTTATAAAAACCTTATTTTTTATAAGATTTTAATTATATGTTTATTGGAAATCTTACAACTCTTAAACAAAATAATAGAATTTTAAATAATATATACCTAAGAGTAGATCTATACCTTTAGGTTTTGTAGAATAATCATTTTGTCTTATTTATTTTTATAAGATAAAGTAAATACCCTATAGGGATCAAATACCCCAAGTAGGGTACAGGTGACCATGCTTGGATGGTAGGTAACCACGTTATATTTCCAGATCCAGGCTTCCAAATTAATGTTTCTAAGATCTGAAGTTTTCATATGCCCTTTGGAAGAAATCTTGCTGTGACTGGTATTTTTCTACTAGAGTTCTTATAAGTGCATCCCTTTTCTCCTTTGCCATTTCATAGAATGACAATTTTTAGGGCTTTGATGGCATCGATTACACGACTCGGGATTGCCATTAGTCTGACGACTGGAAGTATCGTAACTCCTACTTTGATAAGAATCTCATGTTAGAGATATTCCTTCACATTCACATTTTTTACATTCACAATCACCTAATCCACCACATTTAATTGGAGTCAGATAAAGCAGTCTTGCTCTAGTAGCATGTTATCCCCGACTCTAAAGCCGCTGTTCACTTCACAAGGAATCGCTTCAGTAGACGCTGGCCTACGAAGTGTCATTTCTCTGCAGTCTCTTCAGTCTAGAAGCGGTGGCTCAAACCGCTCCAGCAAATCCAAAGATTCAAGAAACCCAATTAAAAAGGGTGCAAACGCAAATAAGAATATTGACGCATCATCTAATACCATCTAATATGGAACTACGAGAAAGAATATCTGAAAGTTAAGCCTTTTCATTATCCTAAACCTCAGAGAAAAATACTGTTGGACCATTGTCTGTTAAACCGGGCGACCACATCGCGATTATAGAAATAGATAGCGGTTACACATTCAAATGCTGATGACATACAAAAAGATCTGGAGCCAGGAAATATTAGGGTCAGGGGGAGGTGAGAGTCTCCGATGAATTTCCTTATGAATAAGTCGAACAGTTATTTATCTCAATCCTCAAGCGTATTATAGATACTTTCTATTGTACTTTGGCACAGGTGCACAGGTGTACAATAAGATATGCTCTTTGTCCCGTGAGGAATACGAGAGCAGTTAGGATGAATCTCTATACTATTGCGCTATCATGACCTCCATATAAATCCCAACATACTGTCTACCCAAAGGAAGGAAAACGGAGACGATTAGACTGAAATACAGTGAAAGTAGGTGTATCCAGAGAGCTAGAGATAATATATCTAACCTCCCAGAAAGGAAAAAGAACCTCCAGCTTCTATTTACATCTCGTTCTTTTCAACCTAGCTATTAATATCTCTACCAACTTATATTTCACTCCTCATCATCTTCTTAACCTGTTATAAGATCTTACAATAATTGCAACGCGTTAGATACGTTTTCTCAAAAATTCGCATCTCGAGCTTTTATCTGAACCATCTGTAATAAAGGTATCCTATGATTCACATAGCTCAGGCACCCTTTCTCAAACTTAATATTTCATCTCTATGGCTTTAATCTCACATCATCAGTCTGCTGATTTGCTCTATCTGTTCACTCTCTATTCCTTTTTGTCTTATTTACATTTCTTTTACAAGGTTTGGTCACTGCTACACACACATTCTCTGCTTACTTTCGAAGATAGTATCAATGTAATCTTAAATTGATTTCAAAAGTCCAAACAACGCCCTCAAAAGAGTAGGACGAAAAGTCCTGTACATCTTATATAAACACCTCAACCTCAAACTCCAGTTAAGAAAATAGAAAATAGAGGAGAGAAATATAAAATCTTGTGGCTAGTGCTGTAGTTAATCTACTAAATCTAAAGATATAAAATCTTCAACTCGAATAATATTTATATGGAGCAAAATATCATATCAAACCATGATAAAATAAAATAAAAAAAGCTTGATTCATTCCTCGATACTAATTGAATGAATTGTTAATCGAGCATTCACAATTCCTCATATCATCCATCCCAGGTGATTATAAGCTCTTTGCATTTAACCAGTCCCTCAATTTCCGTTCAGACTTCGGCCCTCCGCAACACTCTACAGCTCACTGACTTTCCTATGTATCAATCCATCATTCATCGGAGTCCACCCCATCTCAACCTCCACCTCACAAACTCCATCTCAAGCATCAATGCTTAAAAAGTTGCTTATGATACTCTGCTTTTGCCTGTATTGAATTTATGGATTAGTTTCTTTCTTCTTCCCCCCCCCCCCCTTTAACACTCCCGTCAATCCTTACACATCCCCAAAAATCAATAAAGAAAAGAAGAAGATAAAAGAGAGAAAAAACCATACATCATGACCCTTTTTCTCAATCTTATCACCAACCACCTCAAAAGCCGCACATGTCCTCTTGCTAACTGGAGCTGCGGAATCTTTTACCGTATCTTGGGTTTGAAATAATATTTAGCTCATTCTCCTTCTTTTTCTCCTTGCTCCGAGCTTCTATATTAAAGCAAGAAAGAGAAAGAAAGCAAGGGGAAGAGTTATAGAAATTTGAATAAAAGAGTAGGAGGAGATGGAGAGAGTTATAAAAACTTAAATCGAAGGGCAAGAAGAGATATCGAAGAGAAGGAAAGAAAAGAAATTCCAAAGAAGTCAACACACTCTTATGAACCCTCTCCTCCACCCCCTTTTCCACAGCCCGAGTCTTCTCTAAAATGTATTTTCCCGCATGTCTATAATATCAAACGTTATTATTAGTAACAAAAAAAAAAAAAAAACTCATCATCTATTCCATTAAGTTCGAATTCATGATTATACAACGGATATGAATCTCCGCGAAAAAAAAAAATTCTCCAGAACTTCATTTACAAGCTTCTGAAGTGCGAGTAAAAGAAGGGAAAATTAATTGCTTGAAAGAGAGTATAGGGTATAGAGATGGGAATAATAATGAAGAGAGAGAGTGGGGGGAGGGAGAATATCAAGCACAAAAACAAAACATATAAACTATACACCCTCTACATCCACTCTCCACAACAAACAAATTGAAATGAGAAATAAGAAACAAAAGAAGGAAAATATAATCATACGAACTTAATCGTATCCATATTTGTAATCTTATATTTGCGTGCTGTTGTTTTTCCTATTTTTATTTTTATCCTTTTCGAGTAATTATTTATTTCGATTTCCTTATTCTTTGGGGTATAGCTTCAATCTAAGCTTTACTTTACTTCTGACTTCAAACCCATATACTTCGTTCGTTCGTACGTTCGTTCGTTTGTTCGTGATTATCGGATTAATTATCCGTAATCTAATGATCGAATGGAGATGGAGATGGATATGATTGTGATTTAGGCTGATGTTCGTTGAGTAAGTATGTAGGGAGGTATATATGTATTTTTTTTTTCCTTTTCCGTATTGTCTTTTATGTATTTAGGATTGCTGGATATTAATTAACTACTAGGTATGTATGTATGTAATAAAAGAAGTTCTGAGAGCTGAAGAATGAAGAATGAAGAGGGTAATGTATTTATATTTAATGTGTGTTTTATATTGTGAATCTATGTTATACACAAGTAAAGTATTTAAAAGTCTAAAAATATTAATAAATATCTCTCTTCTCTTTCCTCTTTCCACTTTCCTCACTCTACTTCCCCCTTCCCCCTTCCTCCTTCCCTTCACAAAATACACTGCCCCCCTTCTTCCCCATCCATCCATTCTCACTCTATCACTCTATTATTCTATCTCCTCCCTATCCCCTCCCTATCCCCTTCCATCCTTCTTCCTCCCTTCTCCCTTCTCCTTTCTCCCTTCCCTCCCCCTTCCCACCACCAAATCCCAAACCCAACAAACTTTCACAAATCATACACACACATATCCCCCCTCCCCACCCCCAAAAAATAAGAAATATAAAAAAAGCCCATCAAAACCAACCCTAAAAGTTCCCCTATCTTTCAAAACAATCTTTATCTAAGTTCAAGATACCTACCATACCTTACCTTATCTTACCCGTATCCGTCCCAGTCCTCTAATTACTTCCTATTACAGAATTGAG